TATTGATTGCCTTTGAATGTAAGGCAATCTCCACTCTTTACAACTATAGAAAATGTGCCATTTGGAGCAGGAGACCAGGAATCACAGTGAAACATCACTTAAAAGAAAAATATGATAGTTATGATTTCCGGGAAAATTTAAATATATATATTTGGAAGAGGAGAGGGGTAGGGAGGGACAGTGGAAGACTAGGGAAAGAAGAGAAGGGGAACAAGAATACAATGAGGACATAAAAAAAGCAAAGGAATTTCATTCATGTTCCTTAGCTGCATTTGGAAAGCTAGAAAGAAAATCCTGTTTAAATGCCACTGGACACTCAGTCTGGGGTTCTCTTTTAGGAGGAAAAGTGTCTCTAAGTTGACCTTTAGGTGCTCACTTGAGGATAACAGAAAAAAGCAAATACGAAATCTTTATCTTGCTCAAGTTGCAGCGTGGGATCTGATTATCCTGCATGTTTGTGAAGGTTCACTCAAGAAAGTCACTGTAACCACTGAGGTGGCTTACTTTCCTGAGCTAGCCATGCTCCCTGTGGATGTTTGGGGGAGCAAAGGAAATGTTTCACTAGTGGGGCCTTTCCTCATGGAGAAATTCAACACTCTCCCCTGAGCTCTGTGTCATTCTGGCGCCTGAATTTGTGGTTACGTGTGTAACTGCTAGATGGGAGAAAAGACAGGCTTACTCACACCCAAGCTGTGCATCAGCTTTCCACTTTTCCATGACCATATCTAGGTTAATGCTAGGAAGAAAATGTAAATCTACTCTCTTCCTCTCATCCCCCCAAAATTATGTGTCTTCAAGAGCACGTTTTCATTATGTTTTAGGTCAAAAGTTTGTGGCAAGCCTTAAAAAAAAAGATTTCTTCAATAATTATCAACATATTATAGGTATTCTTTAAATGAGAAACTAAAAGCAATTATAAAATTTAGATTAAATATTCTTTATTCTGAAAGTTCCCTCCTTTAAGGCGGCAGGCAGATAGATCGTTTAGATAGCCAAAATTCATTTAAATACTAATGTAAGTTACATTTGCCATGTCTGTTTTTCGGGTTTTTTTTAAAGCACTGGAAAAACAAATAGCCCTAGATAGATCTCTACTGAAGGCTTCGATATTTAAAACTGTATACCGGATGGGATTTTCTGTGTTTTAGGATGGTGTGAATAACCAATCTCAAAATGTCACTCCCTGGTTTTGGCACCCGAAAGCTCCATGGGCTCCTTAACCAGTATCCAGTACTAAACAGAGTCGGGGGGGGGGACTGGAAGAGGGATCTTGGTTCCAAAGGAACAAAGGACAAATACAGTCGGTCCATTCCATAACGTTTACACTTCCCTGTGATCCCCCCCACCCCGCCTTGGTTTTCCCTCCGAAGGAGTGACCTGGGCAAAGCACCCAGCTATCTAAAAGACACTGTATAGACCTTTGAGAACAGCTAAGTCCAAGGCCGAGGTGAACTTCAGGTCAGCGCGTCTAACAAATATGAAAATGTCGGCTAGTGAAGGGCGCGCCTTGTTATTTAACAAAGACTGTCAATGTGTGAGATTAATAAGAAACAAAATGCACACGGTGTCACTTTTCGGTCACTTTGAAAGTTGGGACAGGGTTGTATTCAGGAGGAAAGGCTGATCCAAATATATTCAAAATGATTCAAATCAGATTCAAACTAGATTAAAAATGCAGTTCTCCTTTCCCTCCCTCTCTCCATCCTCTGCCTATTTCCCCTCTCTTCCTCTGCCTGTTTCCTTCCTTGCTGCTTCTTTCCTTTCTTCCCTTTCTCTCTCTTTCACTCCCCCCTTCCTAACTCCCCCCCCCATTTACGGTGTTTAGATTCAGTGAAAAGTTATTTTACTTAATGGGATTTAAAGAAATCTTTTGTTGTACATATATTTTATCTGAGCATATGGAATGAGCAGATGTGCTTACATGATTTACAAAGAAGGGGAAAATCCCTTTTCACTACTGGAATTGGATCCAGTTGGTATATGAAGATTAGACCTCTCCATTTCTGCTTCATTGCATTGAATTCCATTCTCTTCTCAGGAGAGATACGGCTGGTAAATTTTTGGTTGTTTTATTAGTTGGGTTAGCGTCTTCCCAGGTTTGCTATGGTATCACATTTCTTGGGATAAAAGGTGTTTTAATTTTTAGAATATAGATCTCTGTGATTTAATTTGGTTGAATGATGCTCTGTTTTGCAAAGGGAGGTTCTGGTCGGATCAGAAGAGGTACCGAGGTTGTTTATTGCAGCCATAAATCTCGCTTTAAAATGTCAAAATGTCGGTGTCTGAGATAACACTTGGTGGTCTTGGCCGAGTTTTTGTTTATGATAGCAAACCACTAAGACAAGTTACAGGCCTTAGGAGATCCCGAAGAAACCCATCTCCACCAAGTAACAGAGCCACGTGAATAACAGACTTCAGCTCGCCAGTTTAGGCCGACTAGACACAAAACAGCTCTGCTTTCTTTTTAACCTCTAAAAATAGCAACATCGTAGAAAGCTCTGCAGTTAAACAACACGAAATTTGCGTTTTAATACCGGTAAATCATAGTAAACAGACATAGAAAAGGCCTAAGAAGGCAGGGTTGATGACAAGAGGAAAGATGCGAGATTTCGTGGTGTATTTCTGGAGGATGGACTCTGCGATTCTGTTTACCGGGTTGCCTGCCTTTCACTGCTAGAGGCCATCACCAAGGACACAGACCGGCTTTTTTGAGAGCTTGTGGGGAACTCTGTAAATATTTGATTAGGTGTTATTTTATACATTTATACATATATACATACACGTGTGTATATGTATACACGTGAGTGATTAATTCCCTTGGGTTTTATTTTAAATGGTCCATGAGCCCGGTGCAAGCAAGGCTGTATTCTTGTTTATTTCTCTGTGCTTTTCCTGGTTGCCTACTCAAAGCCCGAAGTAGAAAATAGCTTCAAAACCTCTTTTTTTTTTTTTAAAGATCTGGGAGATCCTAGAGAGAAAGCCAAAAAGATCTCTTTCTTTAGCCTCTTTTCCTAAATTAGTTTATAGACTAGTTGGATATAATAGATTTTATGTGGCTAAGCATTAAACGACTATCCGTCAAATGGATTTATTTCAACATTCGGTAACTCATGTGCGTAACTGATATAAATGGACAGAGAAATGACATTCCTTCTGAAGTGTCGCTGGGCTTTAGGCTATAACTTTCTCTGTCTACCTTGGCAACCCAGGCGGGGAGGCAGCTTTTCTTTGAGAAACCCAATTAAGGTATCCCTTCCGGAAAATCCTGTCTTTGTAGATGACCGTTTGTTCTCGATTTCTGGGGGGGATCGAATGGTCTGCCTGGATGGTTAGGCAGGCAGGTGAAGAGAGGAGGAGGAGAAGAGGAAGGGAGAGGGGAGATGAAATGTAGAGAGGAGGAGGGAGAGGAAAGGAGAGAAGAGGAGGGGAGAAGAAAGAAAGGAAGGGAAAGTGAGAGGAGAGAAGGGGAGAGGAGGAAGGAGGAGAGGAGAGGAGAGGAGAGGAGAGGAGAGGAGAGGAGAGGAGAGAAGAGAAGAGAGGAGAAGAGAGGAGGGAGGAGAGGAAGAGAAAGCAAGGTGTATGCCTGACCCAGAGAAGGAAAGAGAAAGTAAACACAAACACATGGATAAATGCAGCTTTACTATTTACTTCCAAGATCAACACTGGGTGGAATTAATAAGTAATTTATTTGTTAATAGTGCGGTAATTAGTTTAACCATCAAATTTCAATTACCCTGTGGCAGGCTTCAGCCTCTCCCCCCCGATCCCGTACCCTGCTTAAGGCACACGTCAATTCTTAGCCTGACCTGCAGATAAGAGTCCAGCCCGCCTGCCTTGTCCTCCCGGCTTTCAGAAGGGAAGGCAGTGATTTTCAGGGATGGGGGCTGTCCGCTGTTCTTCCACGCGGGCCTCCAGTGGAGGGATCCCTCCTGTTTCTTCCATTCGCTGCCCAAACCCACACAGACACAGTCACACACAGGAAGCCCTGTCCTCAGTGGGCTGAGGTCATTCTCCAGCCCCAGCCCCAGATTCCCCTCCTCTCTCAGCCTAGGCTCCCTCTGGCTCCATCTCATGCCTAGGGAAGGACAAAGATGACTCAGGGAGATGGGGTCAGAGGCCCAGGTGAGACTTCAGGTGCTAGGACCCATGTGGGGGAAAGGGACACCAGGACCTGGGGGAGGACAGTAAGGGACACCCACGTGTATGGAAGGATAAAGGGCTGTGAGGAACCTAAAAGGGGAGGGGGTGGCGACCCGCTCCTCTGTGGACAGGGGAAGGGCTCGAGGACCTCGGTGTGTGTGGGTGTGGTGGGTGAGGAGGACCTTTGTGTGAGGAGGGGCGAGGGGCTAGGGACTGGATGGGAAAGAAAGGTTGGACTCGCGTGGTGGGGAAGGGGTGAGGGAACTCTGCTTATGGGGGGGAGAGGGCGTGAGAAACTGCTTGGGGAGGAAGAGGGGAGGTAGGACGTCTGTGCATGGGGGCCGGGGGCAGCAGGGGACGTTGGCTGGGGGAGGGGCGCGATGACTTGGGGGCTGAGGGAAAGGGACCGGTTTTGGGGGGCGGGGGACAGGACGAGGCAGAGCGCTCTGACCTGGTCGCGGCCCCCCACCTCCAGACCGAGGACGCATCCATTCCTCTCCCTTCCTCCACAGAATCGCGCGGGGCGAGGACGCCTGCTGACCGCCCACCCTCCCCCGCCTCCTCTCCCTCCCCCAAGCTTAAGACACGGGCATCCATCATCCAACCCCGAGTTTCCTGATCCGGGGCCCGCGCGCGCCGCGCCTCCATTGGCCAGCAGCGGGTCACGTGCAGGGAGGGCGGGGGGGGGCGAAGGTGCGGAGGGAGAGGGTTGGGGGAGGGGACGGGGCCCGAACTTTGTCCTCAGCAGCCGCGCAAGGGGAGGGGCAGGGGCAGGGGGAGGGTGCGGGAAGGGGGAGGAGAGGCATTTGGGGGACTGGGGAGGGAGAAGAGAGGAAAGGGGAGGAGGAGGGGGGCCGAGGGAGGATGGGGAGCGAGGCAGGAGGGGGAGGGGCCTCGGAGAGCCCAGAAAAACGACAACGCGAGAAAAATTAGTATTTTTGCACTTCACAAATTAATGACCATGAGCTCGTTTTTGATAAACTCCAACTACATCGAGCCCAAGTTCCCGCCCTGCGAGGAGTTCGGGGCGCCCGGCGGCCCCGACGGGGGAGGCTACCCCCCGGCCCCGCAGCCCCCGCAGCCCCCGCCGTCCCCGCACCTGCAGCCGCCCCCGGGGGCCGGCCGCTCGCCCCCGGGCTACTACCGCCCGCCGCGGCCCGGGCCGGAGTCGGGGTACCCGGCGCCCGCGCCCCCCACCGCCCTCTACCCCGCACCCCCGCCGCCGCCGCCGCCGCCCGCTACCCGTATGGCTACGGCCGCGCCAGCCCGGGCCGGCCTCGGCACGAGCAGCCCCCGCCCCCGCCGCCCCCTGCCCGGGGTCCCGCGGCCGTCCCTCCCCCGCCGCTCCCGCCGCCCCCGCCGGACAGAGCCTGCTTGTGACCGGTCACGTCCTGCAGCCCCCTCAGCCGCAGCCGCACCCCGCGCCCCCTCCGCCCCCACCTCCCCCGGCGCTCTCCCGCCGCAGCGAGGCTGCCCCAGCCGCCGCGGGAAGCCCCCCAGGGTGCCCCCTGCTCCTGGCGGACAAGAGCCTGTGCGGCCTCAAGGGCGGCAAGGAGCCCGTCGTGTACCCCTGGATGAAAAAGATCCATGTCAGCACCGGTGAGCGACGCCTGGACCGCAGCGAGGGCGGGGGGAGCGAGGGCCTGGGGGAGCCTAGGGCAGGAGGGGGGACCTGCTGCCCTGGCAGCGGAGGGGGGGTTCACTGTGTGTGTGTGCCATCTAATCAAAACGTGAGAAACCTTTTGTATCCGGGGTCCCTTTATCGGGAGATTTACGAGACGCCAAACTGTTAGGGCAGTAATTATAGCCCCCATAAATTGAATTGCCCTGGCAGCGGCTCTGGGCCATGTGTCTTTGAAGCTTTTCTTCAGCCCCAATGCCCAGCACCATTTTTTATGGCTCTCGCTTGTTTTCCGTTGTCAATAGCCTGTGAAACATTTTCTTTGCCGTATGTATTCTTACATGAACTTGGTGTCAGGTTATTATATAATGATCTTGTCCAATTGCTTCCCCCCCTTCTGTTCTTCCTCTTCCTCCTTCTCCTCTTCTTCCTCCTCCGCCTTCTCCTGGGCCCTGCACGTTCAGTCAACCCCAATTACAATGGAGGGGAACCCAAACGCTCCCGAACCGCCTACACCAGGCAGCAGGTCTTGGAGCTGGAGAAGGAGTTTCATTTTAACCGTTACCTGACCCGGCGGCGTCGCATCGAGATCGCTCACACGCTCTGCCTCTCCGAGCGCCAGGTCAAGATCTGGTTCCAAAACCGGAGGATGAAGTGGAAGAAGGACCACAAACTGCCCAACACCAAGATGCGCTCCTCGGCCCCGGCCTCGGGGAGCCAACCCTCCAAGGCACAGACTCAGGGCCCGAATCTTCACCCTCGTCACCAGCCAGGTGCCTCTGCACCCAACTCTTCTACGCTCTAATCGTCCACATCCCCAGATCGATTTTATTCCCCCTCTGCTTCTTCCTTTCTTCTTCTGCCCCTCTTTCTCTCCCCCCCCCCCCCGCCCCGGCCTGGACCAAAAATAAACACCAACACAACACTCAACTGCTTTGTAAATAACGAAGATGAGAAAGAGAGAAGACACGATCTCTGTGTGGCAGAGGACAGGTTGTCATCCGGATCTGGACCACTAGATCAGGCACAGGCTGGCCAGCCTACCAGTGGGATTGTTTATTTATGGAAATGCTCACAGAGCTGGGATGGGAAGTTCGGTACCTAACTAAGAAGGACTCCTTTGTATGCTGTATTTTTTAAATGGCTAAAATAAACCGTCCCATCCAGTGGTGACTTGAGTTGTGCAGTTCTCGGGAAATGTCCATCTACATCTAGTGCAAACAAAAGAACCAGGCCCCTCCTCCCTCCTATCTTGTATCCCCCCCCCTCCCAAGCAGCTTGCAAAAACTGATACTGAACAGAAAAGAGAAGAGGACATTTGGAATGTCCTAAGGTTATTTAACTGGTCTCCAGGTGTATAGTCCCTGATGATATTTGTGACATATTAGTTTCTCTTTATCTCATTTATTTAAAATATTGTTAGAGGTTTATTGTTGTCTTACTCTCTGGCCCAGTTCTAACTGGCAAGAGGGGGCCCATTTAGATCCACATGAGACTGTAAATTGTGGGTTTTGGTGTAACTGTATATAGAGCCAAGTGCTGAGAATAAATCTTGTAAAACAACAACAAACCATGATATTAAAAGCTTAAAACAACTGGTTCTCGTGTTTCCTAAACTTTCTGATGAAGAAGACACCTCCTCGAATCGGGAGGAGCAACTAGTTTGAAAAAAGAAGGGGGTCTTCTGTCTAATGTAATGGTGGTCCCCCAAATCGTTTGTGCTAAGTCTCCGACTTGATCGAGAGATAGAAAGAGACAGACAGCAGAGAAGCAGAGACAGAAAGAGACATACTAAGAGAGAAACAGAGACAGACAAGAGAGAAAGAGGGAGGGAGGGAGAGAGAGAGAGAGAGAGAGAGAGAGAGAGAGAGAAGAGAGAGAGAGAGAGAGAGAGAGAGAGAAACCCTGAGCCTTTGCTCTCTGGCTAGCCTGAAGGATTGCAAAGTTGAAAGGAAAAAGGAGGGTGTTAAACCTTGCTGTATACATGCCTGTTCTTTGGCATAGGGTTAATTCTTTTCTGTGGCCATAGGGCTAGGTATAGAAAAGGGCTTATGGCTCCCAGCAGCTGTTTTGCCCTGGCCTAACCACACACGACCATAACGACACTTGAAAGTAAGTGGTCATTTTGATATTTATTGCCATACAAAGGTTTTCTTGATAGTCAGGATGGAGGAGGGAGGGAGGCTGGCCCTTTTTAAAGATTCTGTGAGCTAAATACTGATTTATGATTTTTGGAGGAAGAGGGGGTGGTTTGAAAAAGAGTTAGATTAAATTCTCCAGTATGTGTGCCTCAAAAGTTTTGGCCCAGAAGAATGTGCAGATGATGTCATAAAGAGGTTGCTATCTCAATAGTAGTCAGCCACCAAGATTGTGAGAGTCCCGGGTGCCACTTTTGATTTTGGGGAGCTTCACCTCATTTCACTGCCTGCAGTTCGAAACAATTAGAATACTACATAGAAAAAAGAAGGGGGTGGGTGGGGACGAACCATCCAACCTGGCGAGCAATCCCTGGTTCATCTTCCTTATGCCTAAGACTTGTTCCATGGATATAGTGAATAACTCCCTCTGCAATATGAAAGGGAAAGGACATTAGCACCAGAGTATCAGAATTCATTGCGTGTTCAATGAGTGATAGACTTTTAATGAAAAATTTTGAGCAAAGCTGGGGGTGGTGGTGGTAGAAAACCTCTTCAGAATTAGACCAGAGGCATTTTTAAGACACTCGCCCATCAGTAGTTAAAACACTTAACTAGTAAGCGGGAAAGCTATGTTTCTTTTTCATGCTGCCATTTGTTAAAGGCAGATTCTGCCAGCTCTTTAATTATGAACGAAATAGATCTGAGAATGAGACAACAGTCCCATTGCTCAGAGCAGATTCCATTTCTCTGCCATTAAAAAAAATGTCTTGCCACTAAAAATTGGGGAGGAACAAATCAACACGTTCAGAAGTCATCCAAAGTCCTGAAGTGAACCGTGTTTTATAAGATGTGAACAGGAGGCTCTGGGTTGCTCTAAACCTGGGGCTTAAACTTATTATTCCCCTCCCCCAACTTGTAAAACGAAATTAAATCACGCTGAAAATAGCAATTTTGCTGAGAATCATTAATCACTTCATACAATAAATACTTCTTTGTAATTCAACAGCAATTCTGAAAGGCATTCTCCTGGAAAAGTCTGTGGAGGAGCAAAGGATGTCCCCGGAAAAAATGTGGTCATATATAAAGATGGAAAATCTTGATTGTCTCCAAAAAAATGCAGACTCTCGGTGGAAACGAAGTGCTGGCTGCAAAGTCTCATATGGCAGATTATCATCATATAAGGTAAATGGTCATATTTACCTTTTGTGTTCTGAGGCTGGGAGGTGGCTAGAAATTATCTGGGGTGTGTGTGTGTGTGTGTGTGTGTGTGTGTGTGTGTGTGTGTGTGTGGTGTGGTGTGTTTTGGGGGACTCTTTGGTGGAATATCTAACTACACCCTGAAAATGAGGTGGAGTGTTGAGACTATTTTTAAAGATAAGGACTTTGAGCTGAAATGCCTGGATAATTAAGTTCAACGAGGACTTTTTAAAAATTCGAATTGCCTGAATAATGATCTATATTCGACACTTCTCTCAAGCCCGTTGTAGACCTGGTCCTTCGAACCAGAATGTTACAACAACTTAGGAAATTTCTCTTTGAGGTTTAAGCCTTTGCATTGTCCTTCTTTTGCTAGGGCAACCATAAGAGGTCACTGAAAGGACAAATTTTCTATCCCATTAATTGTTTTTTTTAGAGAAGCCCATTGGCCCAGGGGACCCTTGACCTTTAAAGATAGTATTCTATGTAAACCCTAGAGCTCTCTTCTCCCTCCAAATATCCTCAGAGTCTCTCTGTGTCGCTCTGGTTCTGTCTCTGTCTCTCTGTCTTTGTCTGTACACACACACACACACACACACACACACACACACACACACACACTCATCTGCTTTAGTCACAGAGGAAGCCATAGAACACCAGAGCTAAAACTTTTGTCAGCATCTGAAATCAACCTAAATCGGTTCGGAGACACTTTAATTGTCACAGTGTGAAGCAAGTGCTTAACACTCTCCCCCCTGAAGGAAAATGGCAGCTTGCAAGCTCTCTTTCCTAGTTTTTGCTGAAATCTATGATATACCCGGTGTTTTATTACAGTAGGAATTCAGCTGTGACAGGCAGAGTACAGTACTTAATACCCAGAATAGAGCTCCATGGGCAGATTACCTAGATATATTACAGTTGGGGTGGGTGAAGTGAGCCCTGTACATAGCATCCTGAATTTTATACATGGGGAGCTCCTGGGGGTTTTCTTCATTCTTGCTACCTCAAGCCTCCTTCATAGTTCAGGCCTGTCTCACCCCCTTTCCTTCTTACTCTCCCTCCCCTTGAAACTTCAGAGCTGTTTTTTACCCTTCAGTCCTTGTATCATTTCATTCCAGTAATTACAATGAGGAAACAGATATGATTCAATTTAAAATATAATTATAAAGGAACCTTTGAAGGATCAATAAAGAAAATAGGGACCTCAAGTTTCCTGTGGAAAGGAGTGGACTCTATTGAGTCAGTGGATTTGCTCTTCCTGATCCCATCATGATCTTTTTGGTAGATATTTTTTAAAAATTTAAAACACTATACACACACACACACACACACACACACACACACACACACACACACACACGAAGGCCTAATCCCCTCCCCCCAATTACTATTGTTCTAAAAACAATTACACCAGCCATTTTGATAAATTTCTGGTCTTCCAGCACTTGGATATTGGGGGAGATATATGATTTCTTGTTCCTTCGGAATACAAGGCAGATTATTTTATGGTGGCTTGAGACTTATTCCAGCAGCTAGCCATACTCTATAGGGCTGGAAGATGTTATGGGGAGCTCAGAGCAAATGTATCAAATGCATGACATGGCTCTCATTCTGCAACTAAGAGAAAAAGAGGGTGAGGCAAGAGTCACTCTACAGCTGGAGAGCCACATAACAATAAACTCAGCTCATGTCCAGCCTTCAAATTAATGGCTAATTTTACCCCTGCCCCCATTTTATTGGCATTAATAACAGCCTGAAAAGAAGTCACTACTGACTTCTGCATCTCTCTGTATAGGTGTGATGTGTCTATAGAAGCACACCTCTCTACACACGTGTCCTTTGTCTGCCAGCACACAAGTATGTCAGCATGTGTATGTATATGTCTGGCCTATTTGTACAGAAATCTACATTCAAAATGGTCAGGTCCTGGAGAATTGTTCTTTACAGGCACCAAGGCAGCTAAGCCAAGTAACAACATAATGTGACCATTCTGGGCACTCTGGACCCAAAGGTTCCTGGATGGAGATCATATATAGGAGGCAACCTAAGGAGCCTGAACTGTTAAGGCAGCAGCTTCTTACCCAGAATCTCCATCAGGATTCAAAGGACTCAGACTGCACCTAAGAAGGCAGCTCTCTGATTATAGCTGATTGCTCACTCAAGACAGACCGGGGGAAAGTTGCTCTAAGTCCCAGATATTGGGGGGCTGCCTAAGAAAGCAAAAATGAAAGCCCTGTGCTCACAGAGAAAGGTGTTGCCTGTGTTCTGGGGGTGATATTGAAATGGTAAGCTTTGGAGTGTCACGTGACTCATTAAATAATTAAAGCAGACAGGCAAGAATGGATCTGTGGTCGTCGGTATCTCACTCACTAGGAATGATACTCTCAGAAGTGAAACTTCCTAGATGACAGATTTCCAAATATATATTTTAAATTCACACTCAGATTTATCTGGAAAGACTTTAAACTCTTTAAGAGGGGGCAATAGGGATTCCGCCGGTGAGTATGGAGGGATGAAGCTGGCTTCGTTCTCATTTGACCATTCTGAGGATATTTTCCAGTGGATCAGATGAGGAAGTAGCAGATCATGGGTGGATGGGAGTGGGGGTGGGGGGCAGGATCAGTTCTTTGGCTTTGGGTGTCTCGTGCTGGTCACATTCTCCCTTTTATATTGGAATGGGCTCATTACTTTTGGTAATGTTCTGATTTACTCTGTGGACCACTGGCTGCCACAGAGCAGAAGCAAAGCTTTGTCCTGTTTTCCTGGAGCTAATAAATCACAGCCCACAGGAGCAGGGCCAAAAAATAAAGCCAATTCCTAAATCCGAGGGCTTGGGTCAAGGGGAGGAGAGAAGAGGAGAGGGGGGGAGGAGAGAGAGACAGAGAGAGAGAGAGAGAGAGAGAGAGAGAAGAGAGGAGAGAGAAGAGAGAGAGAGAGAGAGAGAGAGAGAGAGAGAGAACGAGAACGGCCATTGTAAGGGGCGAATTTCTTCCAGATTCATTCTTTAACGGGCACGATTTATGCTTGTACCAAGCTGGGGCACCCACGGTGTGCATTGAGCTTCCTTGGGTAACAAAGTAACAGCAATAATCATAATAATAATCATTATCTTGGTCATCCGTCTCATAAATGGCATGACAAATGGCGACTTAGCAGTTCCTTTTTGAGAGAAGTTGTGTTGAAAGTCCTGAGTGGAAGCGTTAGACAATGAGTGGTGCGTGTGGCTACATAAGTAGGCAGAAGTGGCTTTCCAAGATGCAAATGGCATATTTAAAGGAGGAGGAAAAGACTGCCAATACAGTATATTGCCATTTGTAACCGAGTATTGATTACAGGTCAAAAGAGATCCAAGAGTGGATAGGGAGGGAAGCAGGAGGCTGCTTTGGAAATAGGGAGAAGCGAGTGGAGAAGAGGGGTAAGGCGGGGTGGGGGGACGATAGCAAGGCACAAGTCGAATGCTGGCTCCATCCACTTACTGAGCAGACTAAACGCCTTGGGAAGGCAACTTTCACATTTCAATATTGCTGAGCAGCCAGCAGCCAGTGGGAGCGCCGGACACATTCTCCTCGGGCTGAGGTGGGGTGGGGATGAGGGACGCACTGAAAGCTGGAAAAAAAGAGGAACGTTGGAACTCTGAAGCCACACAATGAAAGTTTCTTCCCGAGAAGTACTCTCAAGACGGACTTCAGAGCTTTCCAAGGCATGAGCTGGAAGATCCCACCACTCCTTTCCCCCTTCTTGCCCCCCATCAAAGTTGCATGATAACAACATTGCCCTTTGCGGGCCAGGCAGAAATTCAGGGGTGCAGCTTCGTTGCAAATAATGCATGCATCTGGTTTGCTCTGCAAGCAGAGAGATGGATCCAAATAGCTCCCTCATTGGCGTCTTGCAATACTATTTTTCCAAGTGGCCGCTTCGGGTTTCCCAGTTTCCAGCAGAAGTTCTTCTAAACTCTGAAAGGTCCAGCACAGCTGGGCCCTCTTGTCAGGCCACAATAACGTTTGGCATAGAGATGAAGAAGGCCGGGTTTGAATAAAACAGAAGACAAAAACTCCGGCTCACAATGCTGTGCCCGGCTTGTAGACTGGAGCCCCAGTCTGAAACTTCTCCAACGACCAGGGAGGTTTCGAGTGTCTACTTGCTCAAACTCTCCCCACCCCCAAAGAAAACCCCAAGGCTAGCCTTTGTTAACAAAAGAAAATAAAGCATACTTTCATATCTCAGAATTTAGGGGGGAGAGAAGAGGGCATAGCCCAGACTGGCTGAGAGCAGAGAATTCTCTTTTCTATGCCCATTTTTCTTGCCCTTTCCCATTCCAACCCTGCCCCCAAGAAAGAAAGAAAAAAAAAGAGGAGAATGGGTGTGGAGCTAGGAAATATTTTTATTTAATTTTTAAAAAGAATTAAATGATCAGATATGTAGGCTAGATCCTTTCGGGTGATCAAAGTGGATCGGGGAAGAAACTCTGGTGACTTTGTGTTTGTGAGCTCATCATGTACTGAAGGAAGATCTTGCACTGCACATCTCTCATTCCCCCGACTCTCCTCTTTCCTCCCAGCCACGATTGACCCACTGCTGTCTGTTTGTCTGCAGAACTGCCTGGGCACCGGAAAAGATGACTGACTGAGCGCTTGGGGCAGGAAGCCATTCCATGATATGACTCAAATCTGAAGAGGTAAGAGGGGTCCACATGCCTAACTTCCGTGGTGTGTCCTGAAATGGGGTTGGCATGGCCTTTCCATGATGGGGGGGGGAGGAAGCATCGTTTCCCCCCTCCTGCTTGAGAGGGGAAGGGAGGAGTTCTGATCAATTTTTAACCCAGTTGGAATTTTCTGGTCAGCTTGTATTCAGCGCTCATTTCCAGCGAATGCTGGGTCTAGACAGAGAAAGAATGTCTAGGAATAGGAGCTGTATCTAGAGGGGCATTTAGATTATGGGGTGGCTAAAAATCTTGGGAATGAATGGCGTGGTATGGTGTGGTGTGGTTAGCTAGCGCCTTGTCGGTTTCCTTCTTCCAACTAGCTTCAAACAGACCTCCACTTGGACTATAAGGATTTCCAACCAGTGAGGACAATGAAAACAACTGGGGCTTTTTTGGGGGAGGTGGTGGTGCTGGAAATGGGTGGTGTTGGAGGTGGAGGGGGGTGGACTGCTTTCTGGGATGCTTTTTTGCAGACCCTTAGAAGGGAGGTTAGGGGTTGGAAAAAATCAGAGCCATGATTCAGTTTTAAGGAAACTGGCCTCAATGCTCCTGCCTTTTCCCAGGTTTTTTTTTTCCTTCTTAGACTCAGAGATAAGTGTACTCACCGGCATATATGTCTAGGATTTTTCAGCTGTGTATATGTGATCTCTGTTTTTTGCCTGGAGTAGACAGAAAGTCGCATTGGCTAAGACAATGCAGTGGTTTTCATTGCTTTTAGGATTTTCTTTTCATATTTAAGGGAAGGGGAAAACTCTCTGGAATCCTTTCAAGTTCTTGCAGAAGTTGTTTGGGATGCAGGAAGGCAATTAGTGTGGTTTATTACCTTGTAAAAGGGTCATAAATTAAGGGCCTATGGGGGGTGTCTATTGGATGACTGGGGTAGCCCTCAGAACCCTCTCTTTGCATGGAGCTGCTGCTGAACACGAAATGATTTCTTTGTTCTTTGGAGGATTGCTCCTTTTAAACTAGGCACAAACAGGGAGTTTCAGAAAAGTCAGCTCATCTGTGTATTTTCCAGGCCTAAATCTTCTCTAATTTCCCCCCCCATCAGTTTGTGACTTCTTTGCAATTCATGATGAGTCAGTCTCTGTGATGATATGATTGTATTCTAAGTTTGATTTGTGTCAGGTAAAAAGTGAAGCTCGGTAGGCTACCTAAATGTCACTTTTATCAGCTACTCTGTGTGGTGTGCCTGCACCAAAATGTACTTAGTGTATCTGTTACCAGCAGCCTTCCCATTGTAATGTTCTCATTGTATCAGGAAACAGCTTCAGGAATCTACTGTACCCTTCAGCACCCAGAAAATTTAGAGTCCAAATGCATTGCAGATGTGCTTGCAAAACCAGCCCTAATAAATAATGGTGGTTCTCTCCCCCCTCTAAGGAGAACAGGAGAGACTTCTTTACCTGGGGCTTAGGGAGAGAGACAAGCAGACAGACAGAGAGAGGAGAGGGAGGGGAGAGGAAGAGACAGAGATACAGAGTGAGAGACAGAGACAGAGAGAGACAGACAGAGACACACAGAGAGAGAGAGAGAGACAGACAGACAGACAGAGAATTGGGAAATCAAATCATCGTATTTGAATGTGAAAATCTTCTGATAGCTTTCCAAATATTAACCAAAGTCCTCTCTTATTAATTCCCTGCCCTTTACAAAGCAGCTCTATTTTGTTGTTGTTATTTCATTTGCCTGGACCATACTTAAGTATTCCTCACTCACTCCAGTTCCAATAAGCCAATAGAGTTTAGTTCTAGGAAAATGTTGAAGTTGGGGAGTGGGGGGTTAGTTATTGTGGAAGGATGGAATATAAATTTGAGGAGGGCAGAAAAGCCTTTCCCCCTGTGCACTCTGCCCCAGGGGTAGTGCAGTGGAATGGAAGGGGACAAGGTTGAAATCTTTTCTCTCTTCTCTCCCATTAGAATTCAGTGTGATGCATCATCATAGTCCTTTACTAGGAAATGAGTTGTAGCACCCAGCGAAAAGAGATTGCTAACTTCACTTGGATTTTCCTTGCATCTGAAGCCAAGGCCACTGGGAAGTAGTGAGAGCACTAGCCTTTTTGCTAAAGTCTACCCTTAGGGAAACCATTTCCTCTTCAAGTTCTACTTCCTTGAAAGTCCTTACACATCCCCTTCTAGTTCTTACAAACTGGCCCCACTCCACTCCAAGATGTTAATTGTTAAACAGAAGTTTGGGTATTAACTTAGTGGTTAACAGAAATGAGGACCTTCTGGGGACCTGAGTTGGGAAACGCAGCCCCTTTCATTAGCGTTAGGGCATTTAGCTGAAGATGTACCTCTGACTTAGGATGGTGATTTATGATTGTTGGAGTTTCTGTTTGCTTGGGATTCTAAGGTCTGAAAGCACCCCCTCTCCTTCCCCCCTTTGGGATACAGAGTAGTGGAGAACACTTTTTGTTTTGTTTTATTAAGGCTCAGTACTCTTTCCAGGCTCATATTCCATTTTGAGAGCTTGGCAAGCCCTCAGGATTTGGGAGAATGTGGAGTGGAGACATGAGGGTTTCACTATCTTTCCTGGGAGTGGAGTGAAGTCTTTCTTTCTTTCTTTCTTCTTCTTTCTTCTTTCTTTCTTTCTTTCTTTCTTTCTTTCTTTCTTTCTTTCTTTCTTTCTTTCTTTCTTTCTTTCTTTCTTTCTTTCTTTCTTTCTTTCTTTCATCAACCTTAAATCCCAGCTGTGATCATTTTCACTTTCAGTTCACTCCTGCAGCTGGACTGAGTCAGTCTAGTTAAATCAGAATATCCCATGGAGGCACAGAAGGGCTTAGGCAAGAAAAGGAGGTTACTAGCTGAGCACACTCACTTTCACTAAAGGTAGGGGTAGGCTTCAGGGTAAGACTCTTCTCTCTGAATGTCCAGATGACTTGTTTACCAGGCTGGTTATGCCATAATTACAGCTGTATAGATTCAGTTCCCTTCTATTCCCCTTGGGAAGAAAAGAGAAATAATATGGAGTCTAGTCACTAAAATTGGGTCCTGTTTACAGATAGGAAGGCAAAAGAAGGAAGGTGGGCAAAAGAGTACAAAAATGGAGTCCCAGGACTTACTAGCTGTTTCCCCAAAGGTAAAGGAGAAAGGGTTAAGAAGGGCATTGATGATATTTTCCTAGTTAAACCCAGGTCACTGAGTGTTAGAGTTAGAGCAGTAGGGACCCAAGTGTCACTAGACTGGAAGGACGGGGTCTGGAAGGCTTAGAGCCTTGTATGGACGTCATTTGGCTATGGGAACCTCAGTTATTTTAGTTCATTTTCTCTGTTGTTGGATAAAGCGTTATGGACGTTGGAAAGGACTAAACAGTCTTAAGGGAAGCCCTTTGGATATTCATGCGGATAAGGCACCAGCTTGTTTTCTAGGTTAACTCAAGGGACACAAGTGAAGGTTGGTTGTTTTTTTTTTCATCTTGGACAATTAGATCATTCCCTCCCCGCCCCCCTTTGCATTTTTCATCGTTAGAAACCTATAATTTCGTGTAGCACTCAGCCTGTGCATAGGAAATGCGTAAGCCCAGGTTGAACGGGGATGGTCCCTACAGAGTTTGAAAAATTCAGATCCACCGCACCGGAGTCAGGCACATCCTTCAGAGCCTGGACTCCCACAACTCAAAACGTCTCAGCTTTCAGGAGCCTCGTCTGCCTTTGTCAGGTAAATTACAGGCCCTTTCAGGCACCCGGGCTGCGGGTTGTACCGCGTGGGTGTGGAGCAAGTTCCACACAATAGCGGTATAGTGGAGCCTGTGGGGACGCCGGTCTGGCAATCAAGTGACTCATTAAGGAATTTCTTTATCGAAAGCAAGAGATCAGCGTTTTGATTTATTATTGGAGCAAGGACCAGATGAGGCTCTGGCCCTGCAAAAGATGCGGGGTGGCCTTTGCTTACCAGCGGAGCAGGGTCTCTTAGAAAAGTTGAGTGGACTGCTGAATGGGGCAAATCCTTTTTTTTTTTTAAACATAACTCTGGTTGGAGTGAGTGTGTGTAAAGAAATGGGGGGGGGAGGCTGAAGAGTGGAGTGAGACTGTCCCTGTAGGAGTACTGCTTGGCGCTCCGAACTTCCTAGCTGCTGTTGATCAAGGCTGTCTTCCTTCCTTCCTTCCTTCCTTCCTTCCTTCCTTCCTTCCTTCCTTCCTTCCTTCCTTCCTTCCTTCCTTCCCTCCCTCTTTCTTTCTTTCTTTCTTTCTTTCTTTCTTTCTTTCTTTCTTTCTTTCTTTCTTTCTTTCTTTCTTTCTTTCTTTCTTTCTTTCTTTCTTTCTTTCTTTCTTTCTTTCTTTCTTTCTTTCTTTCTTTCTTCCTTCCTTCCTTCCTTCCTCTCTCTCTCTCTCTCTCTCTCTCTCTCTCTCTCTCTCTCTCTCTCTCTCTCTCTCTTTCCCTCCCCCACCCCAGGGTACTGTTCTGCTTGAAAACCTAGTGCCTTCAATGATTCACTATTTCAAATAAAAGGATTTAAGTTGACGCGTGACCACGTGAGCATATAATGCAGCGCATTATTGTGGCATTTGGAGCGGACACCGAGGCGGGCTTCGTCTGTGATTACGTGATCCCAGATTCTGTCCTAACCCCCCCCACACACCTCCTTTCTTTTTCCCCTTCTCCTCCTCAGAGAGCTTCCCGTGCTGGCTGCAGTATTCTAGGGCTCATGGAAAGATTACTGCCGAGCTGATGCGACGCGAGGCTTCGGCAGTAGGATGGATTTGGTTTTAAGGTATTTCCGTTGATTGTTGCCTTCTTCGATAAATTATTGCTGCTTGAGGCAAAGGTCAGCCCCAGAGACTCAAGGGAATATACGGACCTGATTGCAGTGCGTGTTCTTTCCCCCTTTGTCTTGGTTCAGAAAATCGTCCCGAACTCCCCGGCTAGAGCAGTGAAGCCAGAGTTTCTTTTCCAGGCATGTCTGTATGTGTGTAGGTGGGTGGAAGAGAGGTGCTCTGTTGGCCTCAGCCCCTAAGGAGCCTTCTTTGACTTTTCCATGGTGTTATCATTTCTAGAATGTGTTCTGCTTCCAGGGGCTTGTCCGAAGGAAGATCCTGAAGCTAAGGCCTGGACAGTTAGTTTTTTGTTGATGTGTTTGTCTAGTGGGAGACTGGAGGATGGGAGTGAGGGGGCCTCTTCTCTGTTTTATTGGATACAGTGGACTCGCTGTGGCTACAATAGCTGGTGGAGCCGGGAGAAGGAACTGGCTGAAAGCATTGCGTGGCTTCCATCTTATGTGGAAGTAAACACTACTGTGTTTACTGTTCGGGTGATAGGCTCACACGCTTTCCTGGAAACAGTACAGAGGAAGTCCAAATCGAGGAGAGTGACTCCATTGTTTTCTTCTCTCTGTTCTGTGCACCCGAGATGGGATGGGAAATTGGACAATCTTAGCTTGAAGAGCGAGAAAAAGAAAAAAGGGATAGGTAGGTAGGGGACAGGGGCCTCCGACTTTGGTTTCTCCTAAAAACTGTAGAGGACAGGGTGAGACCTGGGCTTGGAAAGATCTCAGGAAAGGAAAAGGATCCTGAACCCACTTCTATCTCCTTGAACAGTAGGACATGGTTCCTGTTCTCCTTGGTCACAGAAGACACTGAATTGGGAGACTTTAGGTCTGGGACTCCAGGTCCTCAGCCTAAGTATGTAGTGGAAAGTTAGGATAGACAGGCAGAAGCCAGCTGTGGCAAGGAACTAGAGCCGAGCTGAGATTTATGGCGCTCTGAGGTCCCTGGCAGACATTCCCTACCCCGGGGAAGGATGCTACTGAGAACTTAACCTGTTTGTCCCAAATTCCTGGGTAGTTTCTCCACCTCCGATTATAAGCTTGCTTCGGGGGATACAAACAATCTGGGGACTCATATAGAAGCCAAACTTGTCTCTGTACCACTCCCTGGCTCCAGGGAAGGGATGGTTGGTCAGGAGAACTCTTAGGACTTTGGAAGTAGATCTGAACAAAAGCAACTCTTTCATTTTTCACTCCATCCTCAATTAAAAAAAAAAGTCCAATCAAGTTTCCCGGATTAAGTGGTATTTTCTCTCTCTCTCTCTCTCTCTCTCTCTCTCTCTCTCTCTCTCTCTCTCTCTCTCTCTCTCTCTCTCTCTCTCTCCTCTCTCCCCCCCCCATCTAGCAAAGGCAGCTCATTCTCTCTACATTGCCGATTTCATAGGTAAACATGTTTTACAGCGGCTATTTTAAGTGGCCTAAAACGCCCCTTGAAAATAAAATGTAAGCTTTAATTGCAGTTCAATTACTTGTCAGCGTTTCCTATGATTTATGACCCAGTTCTGGCGCGTTTTTGACCCAGTTAAGGACTCATAAATAATATAGTTTCACTAGGAAGAAAGTGAGAGCAAGCGGAGGTTTGCAGAGCCGTCCTTTATTATCTGTTTAGTGCTGGCGAGTCAAATGGATATCAAGTGAGACTCTGCTTCCCGGATCTCCTCTAAGAGAGCATCCGCACTGAACAAAATGTGCTAGAAACAGTTTACAGAATTCGCTTCTCCGGAAAAGGGAAGGAGATTCAGCCAAAGCAGATGAAAGGAATCTCCTTTCCCATAGGCACGGCCTCATCACCCCCATCTTAAGAATGACGGGGATGTAGGTTTCATCCCGAGTTTTCCTGCCTTGGCTGGGATTTTGATACCCGATTCCTGCCAGCAAAAATTCCTCTCTTTCTCCTCCTCGGATCCCGAACACCTCTAAAAGGAAGAGCTTCGAGCTCCCTAGCTTATGTCGGGAAATTACCCTCCTAGGAGTTTTTCTCCCTTGCAGATAAAACCCCGAATAGAAAATTGGAAGGCATCTCAATCTTCTCGGAAGAGTTTGATTTTCTTCTCTTCGAAAACCCATTAGTTGTAGATTTCTCAGTCTCAAGGCCGAAAGGAAAGGTTAGAGCCTCGGGGTTCCCTCATTCTACTTGTTCCTCAGAAAAAAAGGAAGCTGGTTGAATTCACAAGGAAGATCGAGAGAAAATGGGAAGAAAACGTCCGCGAAAGAAATTTGGCTTTGAGAGATCGAGAGCAGAGCCAGGGACTGGTGGGGTGGGGGGAGAATCTCTGAACCGATAAATCATTTCATGGCGATTGGTTTTATTTTTGTTGTTGTTTTAAAATAAACAAAAATAAAACCAATTACGATGTAAAAGCCTTAACCAGGGATGAACAAAATGATTGTTAGAAATCAACTATTAATCCTTTCAAAGTATCAATTTCTTTAAGTGACTTGGGGAGGGGCACCCGTTCGCATCCCTGGCCACCTTCTTCCCCAGATATTTGCATGCCTAGCCCCTCTTCCCTGCCTATGGCCCACGACTGGCCCGAGCAGAAAAAGCCAACGAAGAAACCACCTTTGTCTGTTCAGGAACCCTATTCTGCTGGTTCAGAGGTGCGCGCCGGGAAGCCAACAGATGCCTCTCATCCCAGGCTTCTATTGGAGATTCCCTTCCTGGTGAGCTCTTTGGCTCCCCGGGTTAGAGGCACGCTAGCCTGGTCTCGAGAGTGGATTTCCTAGGGTCTTCTCATGGCATGCTCAATTCCAAAAGAACTCAAAGTAGGGAGAGACATCTCCCCCAAACCCTACGCCTTTGCAGCCGCAGCCCATCTCTGCCCTGTCCCACCTCTAACCCAGGTCCCCCGCTGCTTAGCGTCCTGCTCTTCTTGTCTTAGGTTTCTCGCAGCTTTTCTTTCGTTCCTTCTAGCTAGTTTAGCTGAAAACGGAGAGCCAGTTGCATCAGCAATTTGGAGGAGAAAGTGCGGGGTTGATTATTGACCTACGCCTTTCTTCCAGGGAAACATCCAACCTGGGGGTGGGCTGATGGCTTGAAGAGAAATGAAGGCCATCGGATTTTTCGGCCCCTTCTCGCCTCGCCTCCTACGCGACCCGGCTTCTCCTTTCATGTTGGGCCGTCGCAATATGCCATAAGGAGCAAGTGTTTTCTGTTTTAGTTCTCTGTTTACAGCTTTGGTGCATGAAGTCATAAATCTTGCCTGGCCATAAATGACAAAAAACCATTGGTATGCATGAGCGGCTGCCCTGGCCTGAGAATGCTTTCAGATAGCTCCCTTTTCCCTGGCTTTGTTTTTGCTCTAAGGTGACACTTTGGCTCCTTGCAAGTTTAAACACATTATTTATATTTTTTAACACCTTCCTTTGAGAAGGATGGGACCGCTGACTCCTCGTAATTGCGCAAAAATCTCTATTTCTCCCTTGCTGCCACACAGGACACCCACCAGGCCAACAGAAATTGGCCTTCTGTGGTGCAACTATAATCCTCTGCTCAGTTTTAGGCATGTTTGGGAAGGGGGGTGAATGTCCACCCTGAAATGGATATGATACCAGAAGTGAATCCCCACACTCCTTCTCCCAGCTCCTCTCACCCCAGTAAATCTGAAAGAAGAGCTTGTAGCTAGCGTCGGGAGTAGTACAATACACACCACCTATGCCTTCCAGAGCTTAAGCCGTACCTAGTCTAGATTAGAGAACAGTTTAGACACAGGGACAGACATTCTAGAACCTAGGTGAGCCCCATTGCACATCCCAGGCACGAGGCCGGATTGGCGTTGATATGTGTGTTTTCCTGCCTCAACCATCTCCCTGCTCCCCCTGAGGCTGAAACTTTCTGTCTAAAAACAGTCAAATCCAGCTAGATGCAATGATTGACCCTAGTAGGATTGCGACCCCTATCAACTCTCAGTAAAAGCTGGGGAGATGGAGGCCCACATCTCTTTCCCTGGAAGTTGAGGATGGTGAAGGGGGCAAGAACATCTTCCTCTGAAGTTAACCACTTAGAGTCTCAGGGAAACTCTGGTGCCCCCCACCCTAGTTTCTCCCCCCCCATGGCTGCTTACTATCTTAGGAGGTTTCTCAAACAAATTCATAAGAAATAAAGACCCTGGTGAGAAAGCCCCTTTGTGAGAGCTGTTTGTCTTCATTAGCATAATTTTCCTGGACTTTAGTGACGCCTCAGAGCAGGGAGGGGGTGGTGATGAGGAGGTGGGGGTGGGGGGAGGCCGCCCTCCTTTACTCGTTCACTCCCTCTCTCTTCTCACTCCTCAGCTTCCTCAATCCCCATCCCCCACTCCGGCCCGCGCTTCCCCAGTCGGCTTTGCCTCTCCCCCACCCCCACCCCCCACCCCGACCAGACGCTGCTGCTCCGCGTGTAATATTCATAAGAAACATACCCACCTCTGTGCCACTACCCTAGGAAAAGCCCCGCGCGGCGATAGCTCTTATCTCGGGGCCCCGGCTGCTGCCCTCAGGAAGGGCAGGGAGGGAGTGCTAGGGGAGGGGGTGGGGTGGGGGGAGGGGGGGTTCCGAGTCTCCCCAGCCAGCCCTTGGCGAGTCGTGCAGGAGCTGCTAGTGGAGTCACGCCTCTCCTCGGGTCCTGGGCTCCGGGGTCTTCCTCCCGGAGGCTGATGCTTGGAGCTTGTGCCCATCCCGATCGAGCCGGAGGGGACCTGGGCCGGGGCAGCTGGGCCGCGGGCGGGCGGGCCGGCCCGGAGCACGGGAGGAGGGTGCCTGCCTCCTTCCGCGTCCGTCGTCAGAAGTTAAGGTAAGCTGGGCCACAGGCCGTCGCCGCCGCCGCCGCTATCAGTGCTGAATGGCGGAGTTTGTGTCTCGGTGATTTATGGCCACAGACTTAAATCTCGGTTCATGAAGAGTTCACAAGCTGCAGCTTCCTCGCAGGCAGTGACTGATACCCTTAGACTTCGAGTTCAGGCCGTTTTCCCCAACCCCCGCCCCCCCCACCTCCCATGCCCACTTTTCTCTTCCCGTAACTTTTCTTTTTCGTGGGGATAGGGGAGTGAGGACTTGTGGGGGCTTTTCTCACTTGGCTTCCCCCTTCTGATTTGGGGTGAGAGCTTGAGGGGGGAGTAGGAGAGCAAGGGGGTGGGGGAGAAAGGAGTCTGAATTTGGCCATATCTAAAAGGAAGACAATAGGGGCTGTTCCAGGCAGTCCATGTAGCCTCTGACTCGTTTTCTGCTCAGCTGCACCTGGATATGGCCCAGAAATAGAGTTTGGGGTTTTTTTTTTGCCCTGGAATCTTTGTTCAAGCCTTTGTCTTTGGGGTGGAGGGGGAACCTTCTGCCAGGCTGACCTCCAACTTCTTCATTAGGAAGCAAACTTGGGGGGAGGTTGTTTGGGCCCTGAGGCTTGTCTGGGGTCCTCAGACAATAGGGATAACTTTGGGGTTGGACCTAGGAAGTGACTCCACATCTTTGGGGCTGGGTTGTTGTTTTCCTTTTCATTTTAACCAAGCAGTACACAACTTCGTGAAAGCCTTAAAGTTAAGCAGGAGCCCGTTCTGGCTTGGGATAATGGATTAGCAAGTCACTTGAAGTATTGCACTTTCAAAATCAACTTAATTTTGTTTTATCTAATATCTTGCTGTTCAAGTGTCTGGAGTGATTTTCTTAACCTGACATTGTATTTAACACAAGCCTGGTATCTAAAATATTTACAATGTTAGACATTAACACTGTCAAATGGAATAGGAACCCTTTTCAGTAGGAGAACAGGAAATTGTGATATTAAATTCACCACTGGCTTCTACACTATTATTTAAGATTTGATTTTCTTCCAGTTGTACTATCTGGATCTTCTCATCTATTTCCAAGGGCTAAACAATACTCCAGAGCTTAGGACTCACACACAATCACTTTGGGTAAGGGATGCTGTAATTTTTAATTGAGGTGCTGGAAAATTAATTGTGCCTGCTTTCCAGATGTTGATCAGATTGTTGGTTTAATAATAAAATCCAAAGGAGCAGATTATTAAAAAACGAAATCAGAATCACCTGCTGATAGATGTGCAGTTTTTTTAAGCTAACAAAGTGCCTGCTATTCCCTTGTAGTCTTGAACAACTTGGAATGCAAATATATACAGTTAGGACTGAAAATGGCCATTTCCTCCTCCACAAGTAGGTCATTATTACTTTCTTAAGTGTCCAGAGAAAATAGCACTAATGTTATATGTGTGTTCACACATGTATGCAGTAGGGGTGTAACTTTTTTGAGTTGGTAATAAGAGATTGGATTTGTTAAGGCTGGAAATCCAAAGAAAACTGTCTGCATCTCAGTTCTCAGAGCACTCTCTCCACTTCAAATCTCAGTTAACTCTCGTGTACCATGTTTAATTGGTTATTGGGAGGCAGGTAAAGTAATGGAGTTAGCAAACATCTTTGAAAACAGCAAAAACGACTGAGGACCTGAAGGGGTGATTTCTGGTTTGTCTTTCCATCCCACCTTCCCGAGCCAAATGACCCCCATACATCAAATTGCATAGCAGTTTGCAAGACAGAGCCTATTATCGTTAAGTTAGAAGGAAAGTTCAATCGGTGGTCATGGAGATGAACGCTGGTTTTTCAGGTTCCTGGTGGGTTCTCCCCCCCTAATCCATCATGTTTTAACAGGTAGAATTTGGTAGGTGCCATGAAAAAGCCAGCACCTCAGACATTCCTGGGAGGCAGGGATGGGGTGCCTTTTGCTTTGGAAGACAGCTCTGAAGGTGGTTGCTGAGTCCAAGGGATATGGAAGCAGGGATTGTGGAAGAAAAAAGAGGAGAAAAGATCAACCCTCTAGTTTGAATCGTGACTTAAAGGGGATGGAAGAGGAGGGATTTTTGTTGATGTTTTCCTCTATATTTCCTCCGATTTCCCTGAGCGACGGTGAATCTGGAGCCCCACGGGGTTAGTTTAGATGGAAAAGGTGGTAAATTGACCAGAATATGAGATCTTTGAAATTGGACTGGGCCTGCAAGGGTTGATTTCCTCAAATCCCAAAGAGACAAGCATAACTTTTTGGAAGTGTGTGTGTGTGGTGTGTGTGGGGTTTCTCTGTGTGTCTTCGAATGTGCAGGAGGAGATGTTGTAGACTAGGGGAGAGGAAGAAATGGTGCTGCTCTCTTTGGCAAATAGAAGCCTTGTCCCTAGAACTGGCTATCCAATAGCCCCCCTCGGCCCTTAGCACCTCCCCAAAGGGCGAGGGTGACAACAACCCCACAAGAGGAGGTGAGAAAGGAAGGGGCCAAGATTGCGGTTCTCTGGGTCCTCCGTCTCTGGCAAAGGAAGATCTCAATCGTCCCATTTCCTTCCTCGCTGGGGGATGTAATCAAGAGAGAAAGGGAGCGCAAAGCCCGTGCCCACCCCATCCCCCAGGCCCCCTCTGCTTGGAAAGCCCCCCAACTCCAGGCCCAAGTTAACCAAATATTGGAAGCTGCCAGTAAATTCCGGCGGCTTTTTATAGCTCGCCTCCCTGCGCCCCGGGCCAAGTCATGCTGCTAAATATTGCTGACCACTTTTTCTTCTATGGCTTTCATGTCACTTAGCTATTGAAAGTAAGATGGATTTGTACTGAGCCCTCACCGCGCTGCGCTTCTCATCTCTCCCCCCACCCCCAGGTCTGTCGGGGGAGGCCATTGGCAGAGGAACGTCACGTGACGGAGGGGGTGCCAATGTTCGGCTTCAAGGGTGTCAAGACCCTGTCAGTGTGTGAAATAAATACTGGGATACAACGAAATGCAAAAAGCGACCTACTACGACAGTTCGGCGATCTACGGCGGCTACCCCTACCAAGGAGCAAACGGTTTCACTTATAATGCGAATCATCAGCAATATCCTCCGCCTTCGGCGCTGGTGGAAAGCGAATACCATCGGCCAGCCTGCTCCCTGCAGTCCCCTGGCAGCGCTGTGGCCCGCCACAAGGCCAATGACATCCACGAGAGTTGCCTGAGAACCATCGGGGCCCAGGGTGGCCAGGCTCAGGGCCTTCCCGAATCGCAGCAGCCCCCGCCACAGCCCCTGCAGCAGCCTCAGCAGCCCCAGCAGCAGCAGGCTCCACCACCCCCGTCCCAACAGCCCCAGAAGCCGACTCAGCCCCCTGTTCCTTCGACTCCATCATCCTCACAGCCCCCTCCCTCTGTCTCACCACCTCAAAATGCCAGCAGCAACCCAGCCCCCACCAAGAGTCCCATGCTCAATTCACCTACCATGTCCAAACAAATCTTTCCCTGGATGAAAGAGTCTCGTCAAAACACAAAGCAGAAAAACAGCAGCTCCAGTTCAGGTAACCACGGTTGGCATGGCAAGGGATGCTACTCACCTGCCTCCCTTTCCCCCTCAAGTTCCCCTTGTTCAGACTGCTTCCTCCTTCCCTCCCTCCACTACTCCCTGATCCAGAACCAATCTTGCTGAGAGAGGACCACAAGGGCTGTATCAACACCCCCATGCTTTGGTGTGCTCCCCACCCTGTGGTTTGGGGGTTTTTCCATAAACTTTTCAGATTTCTTTTCTCAAGAGGGTGGTTCTCTGAGTGTAGCAAAGGAAACTGAGCCTAGGGTATCATTTTTCCCTTTTCCTAGAATCTTGGTGATGGTCAGTATGGCCCTTCCAGGAGGCCAAGAGTAAGAATCTGGCTCCATCCCTTGCCTTTCTGTTAGAGTTCTGATGTATGTGGAGACCTGAGACCTGGGCCCTTAGCCAGAAGACCAACCTGAGCCATACTCTTTCTTATTTTTCCTTTCTTTCCTTCCCTCCCCCTTTTTTGGGCACAGATTGAATATGAGACAGTGACCCTGGGCTGAAGTGTAACTCCAATAAAATAGTTCATGATCACCTGCAGTCAGAATCAATGCTTTGCATATAATCAGATGCTATTTTTGCTCCAGCAGGTTGAGGCCTTAGGTTACAGAGTTGTAGTAAACCCATGCTCTGTGTTAGCACAATAAAGTCAGGCCTTGGGAGAAAAAAAGAAGGCAGAAGGGTGGGGAATTGTGGCATTTGTCATCTTAATGTGAACCACATGGGCCTGAGTGATACAAACACCAGTGGATGAAAGAGCCCTAGCTGTAGCTTTCAGGCATCTTGTTTACATCTGCCCCCTTTCCAGTTGATGTTGCTTGAAGTAGTTCTAAACCTGGAGCAAACCATGTTTGACTGGGGCTGCCTTGGAGGAGCCCAGAAAGAACAGGAGTGGAAGTAGAATCTTGGGAAAGTTTGGAATGAGCTCCCCATGCCACATGCCTCCTAGCTAAAGTTGTCAACCCCACCCCCCACTCATTTTTTAGGTATATGATACCCATTCAAGGAAAGGGCAAGTTATACTCTCTGATGGCTCTCATCCAGTATTCAGGATGCTTCAGGGCCTTTCTTTCAAGCATGTCTGCCTAGATGTCTTCACCCTCACTATACATGGTTGGAGAATTGGAGATCTGAAGCAACTGAAGAGAGAATTAAAGCAGACTACCTTCTTACTGGGGGGGAGCTTTTTTTGGGGGGGCTTCCTTTTTATCTTGAAGGATGGAGATGAATTTTACACTACACTGAGTTTCACCCTAAGTTTTGTTTCAGTGGTCTGTTTCACATTTTCCTTTCACTCTTTCCAATAACTGTCTTCCTAAAATACGAGAGAAAGGACTTTGCCACCTCGTTTGGAGGGGGGTGTCCTTTCAGTTTAGGCTGCTGGAGACCTCCCAGGGCCTGGAGGGGGAACAGAAGGGGGAAAGGGTGGGGAGGAGCAGGCCATGAAGGAGAGCACCTCTCTGGGCCAGCTCCTAATCACCTCCCAATGGTCCCAGGATATTTCCATGTTCATTGGCTCAGGCTTCAGGGGCTGGGGGCTCTCTAGCTGTGCAGTACTCATCTTCTTCTTTGTGTGTGATTTGTGTAGGTGAGAGTTGCTCTGGCGATAAAAGCCCCCCGGGGCAGGCGTCATCCAAGAGGGCTCGAACAGCTTACACAAGTGCCCAGCTGGTGGAGCTGGAGAAGGAATTTCACTTCAATCGGTATCTGTGCAGGCCCAGGAGGGTCGAGATGGCCAACTTGCTCAACCTTACGGAGAGACAGATCAAAATCTGGTTTCAGAACCGCAGGATGAAATATAAAAAGGATCAGAAGGGCAAGGGCATGATGACGTCCTCCGGGGGGCAGTCCCCCAGCCGCAGCCCGGTTCCTCCCGGAGCTGGGGGGTACCTAAACTCTATGCATTCTCTGGTCAACAGTGTTCCCTACGAGCCCCAGTCGCCTCCGTCCTTTAGCAAGCCTCATCAGAACACCTATGGCCTCCCCAACTCCTACCCAGCTGCCCTTAACAGCTGCCCACCTCCTCAAAAGCGGTACTCGGGGACTGCCTCGGTCACTCCAGATTACGACCCTCACCCCCTCCAAGGCAACGGCAGTTATGGGACCCCACACTTACAGGGAAGCCCCGTCTTCGTGGGGGGCAACTATGTGGAGCCCATGAGTAATTCCGGGTCTTCCATCTTTGGTCTGACTCATCTCCCCCATCCCGTCTCAGCCAACATGGACTATGGGGGGGCTGGGCCCATAGCCAACAATCATCATCATGGACCTTGTGAGCCCCACCCCACCTACACAGACCTTACAGCTCACCATCCTTCTCAGGGAAGAATTCAGGAGGCGCCCAAACTGACCCATCTGTGATGGACCGCGGGTGGACACAAAGTCAACCCACTTCTCTCTTTTTAGTTCTGTTGGTTTTATTTTTTGCTTTCTTTTTTTAATGGTCATTCTTTCCCAGTCTCTCTTTCTCTTTCTCTCTCCCCTCCCCCATCCTCTCTTTTGTTTTCTTGGGTAAAGCCTTTTTATAGTTTATATGACGTAGCAATATTCGTTGCTTGAATGGCTCTAGAGTTTCCATGGTGATATTTATCTGCCCCCAGCTCGAGTCCTCTGGCTCTCCTTGGCTGGGGTGGGGGGGCGAGAGGAGGGGGCTTCCTTCCTTCACCTTCTTTACTCTTTTATCAGAAACAGGGTATATGAACAAATTTTCTAGCTGAGTTCTTCAATGTGAATTTGTTCGTACATTATAGCTCCCGAGGGGAAGCGATTAAGTTGTGTTTTATTATTATTAATTATTATTTTTAGTTGTTTTTTATTGCACTTCTTTAAAAAAGAGCGAGAAAGGATATCAAAGGGCGCTTTGAAACAGGGTCTCCCTGGACAATACTGAATCTGTGTCCGTCTCTCGATGTGTGTATGCTGGTGAACAGTCAGATTTATTTATATTTTTTTGCAAACATTGAGTAATCTAAGTGTTTAAATATTATTTATCCCCATCCATTCATATTTATATTAAAAAATCTCCCCCGCTCCCCAGATATATACCCTGATTGTTCAGGAGCACTCCTCTGACCTTTGGTTCAGTAGCAGATTGGCGTCCTACGACTTTGGTTCGAAAAGGAAAGAGAAATCCTTTACCAAGATGGTAACGATTGTAACAAAACCAGAGAGAAGCCACCTTTTTGCTTTTTTTTTTTCCAACAGTAGTTTATGCTTGTAACATCGGGCTAAACGGAACAACTCTCCCCCCCCTTCCCCCAACAATCTGTAAACGCGAAAAAAAAATCTAAGATTTGTTTCGAGAGGTCTACATTCCTTGCTGCTCACGTTCTGGAAAAAGCAAAAACAAAAGCAAAAAAAACAAAACAAAACAAAACAAAAAATAAAGTTTTTATTCTGACTAATTCGGTTTTCAGAACGTGTTCTTTGGCCGATATTGGGGGCAGCTCACGCCCTGGAGAAGGGAGCCTAGGCACACGTAGCCAAAGGCATCTCCCCTACTCCCACCTCTTCCCCAACTCCCGCATACCCCCGTCCCAGCCCCCTACATAGCCAGCCTTGGCCTAGGCCTTGCCTCAGGGTGCTGTTAGAAGTGTGTGTGTGTGTGGGGGGCGCCCTCGGTGCAGGCTCCCGGTCTGACACACTGTAGCTGGGCTGGCTTGGGGCTGCTTCTCCGAGCTGCCAGGCCCCGAGCAGCAGCCAGAGTCACCCTGGAGCTCTCAAGCCGGGAACAAAGCGCCGCGATCACAGGTGCTGGTGCTGGGCCTGAGAAGCTGCGGGAGTCGAGTGGGGTGGGGTGGGGTGGCAATGGGGGCGGGGATGTAGATTCACCACTCCTTGCTCGAAGAGGAAGGAGGGAAGGCGATCGCCATCTTCTCTTGCGAGCCTTTCTCTTTCCCTTTCTCCCTCGGTCTATCTCTCCCCCTCTTCTGCCTTAACGTCTCTCTCCTCCAACGCAGCGCAAAGGAGAGAGACGTTCCTCTCTTTGGCACTGGGGACCCCTCTACTCCCACACGTTCCCTCCCAGGGTCAGAAGAAAGAAGCTAAAGGCTGTTACATTGTGCGGAGGTTGTCTTAAATAAAGGCCAGCGGAGCTAGGCATCCAAACCAGAGGCGGCGGGACGTCGTTTCCAAGGGGCAAAATCGAAATACAGTCGTTTATGGCTTCCCATGTCGTTAATCACTCCTGGAAGAGACAGATCATCATAAATTGCCTCTGAGGTTTGAGGCAGTTTTTTCGGTAACTACGGTAGTTCATGCTCACAAAGGGGGCTGAACGTGAAGGGAGAGTAGGCAGCAGCCGATAACCAAGCCTTCTCCTTCCCTGGGCCGGTGGACAGTCAGTGGCAGCTTTCACGCATGAACCTTCTTTCCAGGATTTGGTATATTTCCCCCCATTTTCTGAATCTGGTCTCCTTCTTCCTCGTATTTTTTCATAGAGAGACAGAGACAGACAGACAGACAGACACACACACATACACACACACAGACAGATACAGAGACAGACAGATAGACAGAGGAAGACAGAGACAGTAAGAAATATTCAGAAACAGAGACAGAATCAGACACTTAAAGAGCAGAGTCAAAAAGTGGTTTGTTCTCTAATAAAGTGCAATGCTTCCAAGTAATCTCTCTCTCTCTCTCTCTCTCTCTCTCTCTCTCTCTCTCTCTCTCTCTCTCTCTCTCTCTCTCTCTCTCTCTCTGTCATTCCATAGGAACTAAATATTGGATTGCTATTCATGGAGTTGCAGAAAGAGCTACCCTCTGAGAGAGAACCCAAAGCCCACACATTAAAAAAGAAATATTTCCATCCTGAGTGTTTTTTTTCTTTTAAAAGCCAACGGATTTTTAGATTCAGATTTGAGCAGTATATCAGCTCTGAGCTTAAAGCATGTAGTGCAAAGACATCTATAATCCGTAGCTAGGCATTTATTTTAGGTGAGAAATCAGCCTCCTTCTCTCTTCGCTGCATCTCTCAAGGCACAGGGGAAAAAAATGTCGCCATTTTGTTCACTCAAAAATATGCTCAATATTGTTCTTTATCTTCGTCTGAAACTTTCCTCAAATGACCTTTAGAAATATCCAGTGTAGACGTGTACATGTGTCGACACAGGCATAGGGATGTATGATTTGCCTTTAGTTGGGACAAGAAACTCCGTTTTAATTTTTCTTTTCCTTTAAAAGAAGAAAGGAAAAGAGTAGAGGGAGGTGGCCCTAAGGAGATGCTTCCTTCGAACTGCACCTATTTATATGTTTCATCCACCTCTAGAGATTTCTGTACTTCTCTTTGCCAGGGTCATTGACAATTTGACAATTTGAGGGAGCTTTGGTTAAAAAAGAAATCCCTTACTGTTCTTTCTCCCTACCACTCCCACCCCTCTATGGGAAAAAAATGGCGCGGTTGGTAAATACATAAAGCTAAAATTTAGGCTTTGTAAGGGAGTTAGTTTCCTTGTCTTGGACTGGTAGAACTGGGAGAAAAACATCAGCTTTTCCTTCAAAAGTAACCATTTTTAGACAAATAAAATCTCTAAGTTAAGTGGGAGGAGGTAGAGAAGAGACTAGAGTGAATTCCTTCTAGCCTTTGAATCCGTTTCTAAGAAGCTTTTAAGGGAGAGTGAACTGGGTTGATATCTACCTCCTTCCCTGAGGGCAGAGATTTTGAAAATGAGATTATAATATGATTTTCCGCATCTTGCTAGCAAAGATATTCATTTTGACTTTCAAGAGAAAAACCCATTCTATCTCATCCAGTTTCCTAGATATATTTTTGCAAAATCCTTATTAAAATACACCCCGAGTTAAAGTAATTTATTTTTAGACGTCTGGCTGTTGAGTGGCCAGAGAAAAAGAGTTTCTTCCAGATGGTATTTGAATCAGAAGCCCCAGCAAGGACTAGCAGAATTCAGCGCCCACTCAGCTCAACTCACAAAGCCTGCAGAAATCTGCAGGCGGATGCTTCCTGCTTTTTTGCTTCACCTCCCACTCCAGCCCCAGGATTTCCAAGCAGAAGCCAAAGCCCGACGTCGCTAACCCGAACCCCTGAAAAGCCCTGTGCCCCAAACCATCCCCCTCACCCTTCCTGCCACGAAAATAGCTAAAAAGAAACATTGCTCCCTGTTTACTTGCGTTTCTTGCTCTTCCCTCATTTCTCGGCAACATTTGGTCTTGGAAAGAGCAAGAATCTCCCAATGTGTTGTCAAGGGCCAGGAGCTGTCAGACCTTTTGGCGAATAAGATTGATCGCGCCCAGACTTCCTTCAGAGCTTTGTGTGGAATAAAAGCAAGAAAATTAAAAACCTACGTTTTTTTCCCCGGGAAAGCATCTCTATCTGTAAGGCGTTGCTTTTGGCTAGTAAATGACCAATCCCTCACTGTACTTAATTTTAACCCGAGCTGCTCTAAACGCCCAGAGTAGGACATTTCTCCCTTATTTTGTCTCGTGCAGTGGGGATTTCTGGTTTATAAGCATGGGTTTTTTTTTCTCTTCCTATCCCTTTTAGAGTAACTTATTCTAACTGTGTGGATATTGAACTAGCTTGGGGGAGGTTTCTTTGGCCTATGTCAAAGGAAGCCGAAGCGTATAACCATCACCATCATCACCAAGGTATTTTTTGGGGGAGGGGGGAGGGGAGTTCAAATACTGCTCCCTTCTTTTTTTAATTTTCTTTTCTTTTTTGCTTTGATGACTTTTGGCGGAGAGGTCTGGTAGCTCAAAGATAACATATTCTTAAAAAAGGAAACTGAATTGATCTGAAAGGCCTTCAGTTTCGGGACTCTTCCTGCACAAGAATCCCTGGAGCGGCTTCTTGGGTGCCTTTCCTTGCCCCCCCCTCCCCGCTCTTGTTAACACTGGTTTCAATTTCACCGAACAGAACAAGGGTCCAAATTGCAATTCCTAGCCCTGGAGCTGTGAAGATGGCCCCAAGAAAAAGAAGACTCCAGGTGATTGATTGATGCTGGGAAAGAAGCCTTTTTTGGTGCGGCAGATTTCACTTCAAGAAATCCAAACCCCAAAGAAATAGTTCAACAACAACAACGAAAAAGGAAGAATGGGGGGGGGGAGAGAAAAAGCGACTTCCTTCCCCTTGGCGCTGACTTCCAGGAAATCGGAAATACTCACCGGACCCCTTGTACTAAGGGTATTAAACACAAGAAGTCAGCAGCCAGGAGTATGCTATAGTCTGCGTTATTACATGCCGCTGGCTATAAGGCTGCACTCTACATAGATTTTGTACGCATGGATCTGGTCCCTATTGGCATATGCATCTATCTGTCACAGACCGCTCCGGGGAAGTTGACTGCAAAGGAAAGTCGTGGAGCACACAAAAGCTGCCTTCTATTTTCCACTTCCCCCCAGGAGCCAGATGCGAGGCTGCTGCGGAAAGTCCGGCGAACAATGGGCTGAGCGGACGCAGGGCAATTGTACACTTCACTGTACACCGAGGAAGAAGGGGGAGGGGGATGTCAAAGAAAGGGAACGATGGAAAAAGAAAGAGGAGAGGAGAGGGGTGGGAAAGTGAGAGGGGAAAAGGGAAGGAAGGGAGGAAGGGAAGGAGAGAGAGAGAGAGAGAGAGAGAGAGAGAGAGAGAGAGAGAGAGAGAGAGAGAGAGAGAGAGAGAAATAGAGGAAGAGGGAAGGAAAGGAGGGAGGGAGAGGAAGAAAGAGAGAGAAAGACAGTGGAAGACAGGAGAGAGGGAAATGAGAAAGGAAGAGGGAAGGAAAGGAGGGAGGGAGAGAAAGAAAGAGAGAGGAAGAGAGAGGTAAAGGAGGGAGAGAGGATAAGGGAGAAGGGGAGATGGGGGAAGGAGAGGGGGGGAGAGAGGGAGAGAGAGAGAGAGACAGAGAGAGAGAGAGAAGAGAGAGAGAGAGAGAGAGAGAGAGAGAGAGAGAGAGAGAGAGAGAGAGAGAGAGAACAAAGTGAAGGTGCCAGCTTTGGAACTAGATTAGAGAAGATGGGAAAGAAAAAAGACTGGAAAATAAAAAGGCCAGCAGGACTGACTCTCTCTCTCTCTGTCTCTCTCTCTCTGTCTCTCTCTCTCTCTGTCTCTCTCTCTCTCTCTGTCTGTCTGTCTCTCTCTCTCTCTCTGTCTCACCACTCTCCCTGTCCTTCTCTCCCTCCCTCTGTCTTTCCCCCCCTGTCTGAGAAGAACTTATGTGGCTAAGATGCGGGGGCCCTCGGATGTCAAAACTTTGAAGATTAATGGATTACTTTGTTAATGACTCTAGGCGTCAGATTGATTTGTGAGGAGCGAAGCGTCTTCCTGACAGTCCCAAACAATGCCAGGAGTGTGCGGGAGGAGAAGAGAGGGCAGCAGTCGGCTAGATCAGCATCCTGACTCAAACAGACACACACACACACAGATACAGATAGACAGACAGACACACACACACATGAACGCACGCACTCACACACACATCCACGCGCGCGCACGCGAGAGCACACACACACACACACAGAGATCTCTTTCGTTTCAGAGGCCAGCGGCCCCCTACTTGCTCACTCCCACCCTAGCCCTCCACACCCACACCCACCAAGATGTATTTTTTGCCTTTAAAAAAGTGTAAATAAAGCCTCGCTAGCCCCCAATGAGGCGTTCCTTCCCGACTTTTTTGGATCAATCAAACAGACAGTGGCTTCTTTTGATTAAAGCCCAAATTGTCATTGGGCAGAAGCAATCATGTGACAGCCAATTCGGTCCAATTTCAACCTTGTCTCCATGAATTCAATAGTTTAATAGTAGCGCGGTCCCCATACGGCTGTAATCAGTGAATTAGAAAAAAAACACCCCAGCAGCGAGCTTCTATGAGAGATTTTTTTTTCTTCTCTTTCCTTTTGCCTGGGCCTTCCCCCCGCCCCCCCAAGCCCCTCCAGAAGAGGGAACTTTTTCTCCGAGGGGGCTCCGAGGAGAAGGCCATGAATTACGAATTTGAGCGAGAGACTGGCTTTATCAATAGTCAGCCGTCGCTCGCTGAGTGCCTGACATCTTTTCCCCCTGTCGGTGATACATTTCAAAGTTCATCAATCAAGAGCTCGTCGCTTTCACAGTCGACACTGATTCCTCCTCCTTTTGAGCAGACCATCCCCAGCCTGAACCCGGGCAGCCACCCCCGCCACGGCAGCGGCGGCGGCCGCCCCAAGTCGAGCCCTGATGGCAGCAGCGGCGGCGGTGGCAGCCCGGTGCCCGCCGGGGCCCTGCAGCCCCCGGAGTACCCCTGGATGAAAGAGAAAAAAGCTTCCAAGAAAACCGCACTGCCTCCCGCCTCCTCGGCCTCCGCCTCCGCCACTGGACATGCCTGCTTGAACCACAAAGGTCAGTTCAAAGACTTCCCCCCCCATCCCACCCACACCTAACTCAGCTCCTGGATCCCAGCTTTTACCCTTCTTGGTGCTGTGGGGCTATTTTTTTTTTTAGGGAGTGGGAGGGAGAAAGATGGGGAAAAGGAGAGAGGGACTGCTTGGCTGCCTTGCATTCTGCACTGTGGGCTCTGGAGTGGAGCTGGTGGAAGAGAGTAGGCGCTGATGGGTTCCACGATGCTATTAAAAAAAAAACTTTCCCTAACTTGTTTAATATGGAATGATTTATTTGAGTTGGAACTGACCTCCTCTTGTCTTGCTGTCCTACAGTTTGGATATTTGACAGTAATGAAGAGTGATAGATGGTTCTTGCTCAGCTAAGCAGCTGATGCATTAATTATAAATTGCAGTATGGCTAATATAAAGTTTGTTCCCGTATAGAGAGGTGGGGGACTCGGAGGCAATCGTTTGATTGAGGTGGTAAAGAAGGGCTTGCACGGGGCTGGGCGCTCAAGGAGGGCAGGCAGCACAATGGATTTTACTGCATACAAGGGCGGCCATTTTGCTGCAGTGATACTTTATGCTATATTTATTCTCCAGTGGAATAACCCCCGCTTGGACCCTCCACCTCCAACTGTGCGTGTGTCTCTTGTCGGTTTCCCTTTCTGCAGAATCCCTGGAAATCGCAGATAACAGCAGCGGGGGCTCCAGGCGCCTGAGAACTGCATACACCAACACCCAGCTCTTGGAGCTAGAAAAAGAATTTCATTTCAACAAGTATCTCTGTAGACCTCGGAGGGTGGAGATCGCAGCCCTGCTGGATTTGACTGAGAGACAAGTGAAAGTGTGGTTCCAGAATCGGCGGATGAAACACAAGAGGCAGACCCAGTGCAAGGAAAATCAAAACGGCGAGGGGAAATACAGGAGCCTGGAGGACCCCGAGAAAGCCGAGGACGAAGAGGAGAAATCACTCTTTGAGCAAGCGCTCAACGTCTCAGGAGCCCTTCTGGAGAGGGAAGGGTACACTTTTCAGCAAAACGCCCTATCCCAGCAGCAGGCGCCCAACGTGAACAATGGCGACTCCCAAAGTTTCCCAGTTTCGCCTTTAACCAGCAATGAGAAAAATCTGAAACATTTTCAGCACCAGTCACCCACTGTTCAGAACTGCTTGTCAACAATGGGCCTGAACAATGACAGTCCAGAGGCCTTGGATGTCCCCTCTTTACAAGACTTCACCGTTTTCTCCACAGATTCCTGCCTCCAGCTTTCAGAGGCCGTATCGCCCAGTTTACCAGGCTCCCTCGATAGCCCCGTAGACATCTCAGCTGACAGCTTTGACTTTTTTACAGACACACTCACTACAATTGACTTGCAGCATCTGAATTACTAAACACATTAAAAAAAAAAGCAAAGCAAAAATCCCTTTGGGGGGTTGCCTTCTCTTTTCCCGGGAGTTGATTTTAAAAAAAAATTTCCCTCTCTCCTACCCTTTTTTCCCTCCCCCCAAACTGGCCAGGGTTTTCTGTTTAGTAACTCCCCTGACCGAGTTCCAGAGCCATCTTTGCAGGTTATAATGAAGTTATAGTTGTTTTGGATTTAACCCAAATACCCTCTAGGTGATTCCTTGAAAGCAATATATGAGGCCTGTAAGAAAGTGACCATATAATTTTATCGTCACTTTCTTTTTATTTTTGTATTACATTAGAATGCATTGTCATAAGTATTTTTGGTAGAATAAATTCTCCTTTGCTACAAGTAATTTTCTTATCCCCCTTCCGCCACCAAGATTCATAACGGTTCCTTTCCCTCCTTTTAGTCTAACTTGGTAAATAAAATTCTGCTCACAATCTCTCTTCTTTTATTTCCATTTGAATATATTTATTAAGGGGGAAACATTCAGTTTTTATTGTAAAGGTTAGGTGCCAACAGAAGGAAAGTGAGAGCTCTGAGAAGCATTTCCCCCCTTTTAAAGTGGATTAGATTTTGTTACCAGACTATATAGTAGGTACAAGCCATAGATGTGACCCCATAAAAGAAAGAGAAACGTGTAGCCTCTCTGTCAGGGAAAGTTGGAGTTTTAAGAGTGGAGACATAAAGTGCCTATGAAATATTCCCCCTTTATGTGATGAATGTGGAGTTCCTTTAAAAAGAAAAAGAAAAACTCCATGTGTCTCTAGGTCCATAGCTAAATCACAAACAATTCGTTTATTTCTACACCTTTGTTTCAAACATCCACATTCCAATGATGACAGCAACAAAAGTCCCATCAAACCCAGCCAAAGGAGTTTGATTAGTCTCCCAGCTGCTGAGAGGTCCCAGGCAAACAGACCTAAAAAACAGAGAAAGAAAAACAAAACAAAATAATGGTTACAGGCTGTCAGATGTATTTCAGAGGGGTTCTTCATTCAACTGGGTCAGTTCAGTCCTTCCAGGAATTTTTTTTTCAGGGTAGGAAAAAAAAATCAATATTTCATTCTTAAACCTGTTTACATGGGGTTCATTAAAGCCTTGAAGTCAGGTTAGCAAATTGATATCTAATGGAGTGTGGGTCAACACAACATCTTCTAAAATAAGGAAGATTCCCAAGTCAGAGCAAAAAAAAAATCTATAAAATACATAAAATGCACTTTAAATGAACGTCAATAAAATATGACTTAGGGCTGTGCTATTGGGTTGTTGTTTTTTTTCCTTTCTTATTTTCTTTCCCCTTTTTTCTCTCCCCTTTCTGTGAACAGTGTTATTTACCGTGAGAAAACAGAGTGCAAGCAACATGTGTGAGTGGGCTGGTCTGATTTACTAACCGAAGACCTTAACAGTAATAGTTTGACAGTTACAATGAAATCTCGGCTCTGTGGGTGTGTGAATGCGCGCCCCCCCCTCCAACTCCTCAGTCCCCCCTCCTTAAAGAACTATCCAGCATCTGGGAGAAGTTTCAGGATTCTCTTTGCCCGCGCCGAGCAGAGAGAGGCTGAGCTGCGAGTTTGCTGGGCTGGGCTGGGCTGTGTGGGCCGGAGCTGGGAAAAGGGCTGGATAGGACTCTTCCTACTGCTCATAAATCAAACTCTTTCTATGAATGAGAATGTCATCAAAGAGATCAATTGTAGGAACACATGCACAAATACAAGTCCTCTTACGTATTTGCCCTAGCTGGGGATCCCCGTCTGAAAGCATTAAGTTAGGAGGCGTTTAAGCTATAAGTCATTTTTATTGCTCTTTTAAAACAACAGCTTGGCTAAGCTGCCGATGCCACGAAAAGCTCAGAGCTGGGCTTTCCGCCCCCCCCCCCCTTTTCTTTCTAGGAGAAGGGCTTTGGGCGGAGGGAAGAAGTGCTTTAAACCTAGCCATCCTTTTTATTTTAATGACGGTCTCTCTACCCTTCCCCTGACTGCCCCTAAGCTTTCCATTTTTAAAAAGCATGAGGTTCTTTGATCGCTGGGTGCTCTCACTCCCAACTCCCCAGGGCCCAAAGAGGGCTCTAAAACTGGTTCGTCAATTTCGAGATCAATTTCCTCCTGGGTGGGGGAAGGTTTTGCCTCTTGATCGCCTTGTGTTTCTGGGGCCAGTCTTTTGTGAGATGGCCGGAGGGAAGAAAGCTCAAGAAAGGCGAAATAACGCTGAAGGAAGTGGGGGCGATGGTCTGGATTACGCCGAGCCTGTGGGAGCCGGGTCCAGCCAGCCGAGAGACTGAGCCGATGGAGAAACACCAGCGGGTACAGTATCTCGGTTTCTGTTGACGGCTTTGCCTGTGTGAATGTGTGTTTGTGGGTATTTACACACACCAGGGAAACCCCTCCCCGGGGGCTTCCACTTTATGGGAAAAGAGGAGGGAGAGAGGAAAAGAGGAAAGAAGGGAGAGAGGGAGGGAGGAAAGAGGAAAAAAGAGGGAAAGAGAAGAGGAAAGTGAGAGGGAGGCTAAAAAAGGAAAGAGAAGAGAGACAGAGAAGAGGAAAAGAGAAAATGAGAGGAGGGAGGAAAAGGAAAAGGGGAAAGATGGAAAGAAAAAGAGGAGGGAGGGAGGAAATGGAGGAAAGAGAGGAAGAGAGGGAAAGAGAAGAGGAAAGAGAGAGATGGAAGTGGGAGAGAGGATAAGGAGAGAGGAGAAATAGAAAGAGGAAAGAGGAAAAGAGTGTCAGAGGACTGAGGAAATGGAAAGGGGGAGAGAGGGAAAGAAAAAGAGGGAGAGAGGGAAGGAGCAAATAGAGGAAATATGGAAAAAGAGGGTGAGAGGGAGGGTGGGAAAGTAAGAGGGCAAAGGAAGGAGGGAGAAAGAGAGAGGAGGGGGATGAGATGGGGGGAGTAGAAGAAAGCAGACAAAATGGAGAGGCGATGGAACACATTCGATCATTCTCTATTATGTTTCATTGTGACTGAGTAGGCCACAGACTCCTAGGCTGAGTGGAAGGCTAACAAAAGAGATGAGGTTTTTAAAACAAAGATGTAGAAATGGAGAAAAGAGGGGGACTCTACGTGGAAGCTGTGCTCCCAGAAAGGAAAGCCCTTAGCTGTGATGATTGTCCAGTGCCCTCCTTCTCTGTGTCTCCCCACCCCCCCACTCCAATCCCTGCCCCCACAATCTCTGAGAAGGAGCCTCAGGACTGGATGCTGGCCTGGGAAGAGGGGAAAGGGGCAATGCTCCTCAGACAAGGTCCAGACTCTTTCTCCTCAGAGGCTCCAACCTGCCTGGTGTCATGGTGGTGATCCTGTTCGAAGAGGCTGTTGCTGGCTCACTTGGGGCCTGCTTTACTATCTCATCATGGCTATGGGTCAAAGGGCAAAGGAGCAAATGAAAATAGAAGGGAAAAAGTACTGGGGAGGAATTCATTCTACCCGAGGGGGAAGGGAGAGTAGAAATGGAGGAGGAAAGGGAGAGAGGAAAAGAGGAAAGAAGGGAGGTGCAGATGAAGCTGGGGAGTACTCCAGTTTTGTTCTACCCTCTCTGAGGAGAAGGCTACTGGATGAGAGGGCTCAATATGGAGGAGGAAAGGAGCTCAGGGTTTATATTTTAGGACACAAAACAGAAAGGGAAGGTGGTAACACAGAGATTTCAGATAGGCCCACTGAAAATCTAGTTCTTAAAATTGGAGGATGTGGGAGGAAACAAGTAAGGAATCAAAACCACCTCCAGATCTGTGGCCCTCGGGATCACCTCCTCTGCTGAGGTCTGCTCTAAACAGACCCCAGATATTTATGCTTACCTAGGGAGCAGCCTTGCAGAATGGAGAGATTCCTTCTCACTGGCCCTCTCTGACTCGCTGCTTGTCCCAAGTCTTTCCTGTCTCAGTCTCTCTCTGACTCCTTCTACTTGTCCTTTTCTCTGCCTGCCCAGGGTTGACACGGAGCCCAGTGCCCCACGGAAATTAAAGAGCCCATTAGTAGCTGTGAGAGAACGAAGGTGACTGAAAACAGGACCCCTAGCTTGGGAAGAGATTCCTGCTAGTAGCAACGCAAACCTCTAGGGAAAACTAGCCAGCCAGTGCAGTCAAGAAACCATGCAGGGGAGGCTGGTCCTGGCTGTGGGGAGGGAGGGGGTGTAGCAGGGAGGGGAAAGCTCACTTTTCATCATCAACCATCTGTCATCCCCCCACTTGGCAGCCCCCCACCTCCAATTCCAAACTCACCGGATGGTGGCCCTAGGAGTGTTGGGGTTGGATTGGGGTGCGCGGGAGGAGGAGAATCGTGAGAACGTGGTCTAGCGCCCCCCCCCAGGATGGAGGAACTTGATTATAGTTAATTCTTAGCCCACTCCCTGTCTTTTATGCCTCGTCCCTTGGCCCGGGATTGGGGCTAGACAGAGGCCTGGGATGTACTGGCCTGCGTGTGGTGGCTCTCCAGCGCGCTGGTGGAGCCTACCAGATGGACAGCAGTGCCTAGACCAGCCCCAGAGCTGGGCCACATTCTCCAGCGTCTGCCCCTTCCCCCCGCCGCTTCTATCCTTCTGCAGAGTTACTCCCGGGTCACCTCGGACTCCCCAGGCAGAGTTGATTACAGGGAAGGAGGAGAAGGGGGGGGCGAGGGGGCTTGCTGCTGCCGCGGCGGCCTTTCCCGGCAATCCAGGGTCCCCCAGCTCTCCCGCCTCCGGGAGTCACATTACAACAACGTCTCATTGCCATGCTAATAGCTGGGGGACTGGGGCAGATTGGGGAGGGGGGAAAGCTCCTTGGCTTTGGAGACCTTCAGTGGAGATGAGTTCTCCTCCCCTTCTTCCTCCTCTTCTTCCTCCCCCTCCTCTTCCTCCTCCTTCTCCTCTTCCCTTTCCTCTTTCTCCCTCCTCCCTCCCCCTACTCATTTTCTCTTCTCCGCTCTTAGCCTCCTCCCACACGGGACTGGAGATTTCCTCGCCAAACCGTTCCATTCTTCTCCCAGTTACTGTTCCCAAAGGGAGCCGTGGTCATGACAATAACCAGAAAGCCGGGCAGCTAGGGACATCGGGGGGTCACACTCACCGGGAGACTGGGGCGCGGGTGCGGGGCGGTCTCCCTCTTCTTCCTCCTTGACTCACTCGAGTATCGGGGGTAGTGGGGAGGTTGAGGGGCTCTCCCACTCACCTGAAATTGGCCGGCCAGCCCAGTGCAGACTGATACCCAACCCCGCAATCCTGACCAGAGCCCCACGTCGTCCTCCTCCTTTTTTTCCTCCTCTTCCTCCTCGCTGTGCCCGGGAGAGCTACCCTACTCCCCCATATCCCATGCAACTCCTGATGGGGCGGAGCGGGAGCCCCCAGCGGCGGCGCAGCGGCAATGGTGGCGGCTCCCTCTCGGGCTCCGGTTCCTCCTGGGCCCGGCCCCAGAGCGGGGCTCCTGCCGTTGCCGCTGCCGCAGCCACTGCCGCTGCCGGGGGGGCGACTGCGCGTCACCTTGATGGAGGAGCGCCCGGGATTTAAATGCCACTGAAACGGTGATCCATCACCAGCAGGAACAGGCAAACTTTCGCAGGGGGTTCCGCCATTGGCTGCCGCGGTCACGTGCTCCCCGTCCCTCTCTCACCCTCCCCCGCCCCCTGCACACTGTACATTCATATCATTTTTCTCTTTGGCCCCATGGAGGAAGTGAGAAAGTTGGCACGGTCACCCAGGGCTCTGAAGGACCCGGTCACTGCGTATCAGGCAGATGGACAATGCGAGAATGAGCGCCTCCTTCCTGGAGCACCCCATCCTTAACGCAGGAGACTCGGGGACCTGCTCCGCCCGAGCCTACCACTCTGATCATGGGATTACAACTTTTCAGTCGTGCGCGGTCAGTGCCAACAGCTGCGGGGGCGACGAGCGCTTCCTGGTGGGCAGAGGGGTCCAGATGAGTCCCTCCCACCACCCTCACGCCCATCACCACTACCCCCAGCCGGCCGCCTACCAGCACCTCAACAACCTGGGTATGTCTTATTCCCACTCCAGCTGTGGCCCGGGGTTCGCATCGCAGAGCTTCAGCGCAGGTTACAGCCCCTACTCATTAAATCAGGAAGCAGACGTAAGCGGCGGGTACCCCTCGTGCGCTCCCGCTGTTTACTCTGGAACTCTCTCATCTTCCATGGTCCAGCATCATCACCACCACCACCAGGGTTATGCCGGGGGCACGGTGGGCTCGCCTCAGTACATTCACCACTCATATGGACAAGAAGCGCAGAATCTGACCCTGGCAAATTATAATAACCCCTTGTCCCCTCTCCATGCCAGCCACCAAGAAACCTGTCGCTCTCCTACAGCAGAGACATCACCTCCAGCACAGACCTTTGACTGGATGAAAGTCAAAAGGAATCCCCCCAAAACAGGTCAGTTCTCTTCTTGCAGAACACCTGGCCACTGCTGCTGCCGCCTTGAGGGTCTAGGGGTGAGGTGGGTGTAGGCTTTACTTAGTATTTGGGGGGGGAAGCCAACTCGAGGTTATGTGTAGGTTTTGTAGGGGGTGGGTGGGGTGGAGAACTCAGGTGTACTCAGGTGAATGATGCCCAAGAAGTAACAGAGAAGAGGCCAGTCCCTCTCTCTGGCTTCCTGAAAGTAGGAGCTGGGGGGTGGGGGTGGGGGAGGCTGTTAATATCTCTGGACTCCCATTAATCATGCTTTCTGTTCACACCAATGGTTGCCATCAGTCACCCTCCTAGGAGTTCTATGTGATCAGATCAGGTTATACTTTGCCCCTTTACCTGACTGATTCGGAAGGTTGACGGGTATAAATCACCCGTACTTCATTCAAAAAAAAAAAAAAGAACAACCAAAGGACAAAACTACTTCTTTTCTCTCCCCCTTCCCCCTCCCCACCCTTGCCCTCCAGGGAAAGTTGGTGAATACGGGTATATTGGCCAACCCAACACGGTGCGCACCAATTTTACCACCAAGCAGCTGACTGAGCTGGAAAAGGAATTTCACTTCAACAAGTACCTGACGAGGGCCAGGAGGGTGGAGATCGCAGCCTCACTGCAACTCAACGAGACCCAGGTCAAGATCTGGTTTCAGAACCGCCGCATGAAGCAAAAGAAGAGAGAGAAGGAGGGCCTGCTGCCCATCTCGCCCACCACTCCATCGCGGAGAGAGGACAAGGCCGAGGAATCCTCAGACAAATCTACCTCCTCACCCTGCATCCCCTCTTCCCCAGCCTCCTCTACCTCAGACACTCTGACTACCTCCAACTGAGTTTGCCCCCGGCCCCTTTCTTCCTCCCCCCCCACTCCCCACCCCACTATACTTTAGTGCAGAACAACTAACCCGAAGCACATTCTTAGCTTATCTTTCCCTTCGTTTACAATGTCTCTCTTTCTGCTTGATGTTATCTTCAGGTCTTCTCCAGGCTAGGTCACTGTGTTTCAAGAGAATTCTGGCCTAGAGACCTAGAGGCTGGGTGGGAGTAACTTCACTAATGGTGGGGTGCCACCATCTGGTTTTTTGATGACCTCTGAGGGCCCCTTATCCATGATTGATTCAGATACCCTTTGGAAAAGCTCCATCATTCCCCCTCCCCCTGCTTGCAGAGCAGACATATCTGTCATCTAACTTCAAATTATTTTTCTTCCCCTCTTCCTCCTTTTCCTCATCTCCTGGACACTAAAGGCAGAGTCTAAAGGCCTCAAGAAGAGGATGCACTATGAAAGTGTTTACACAATTCAGCTTTTTAATTTAATGCATTCAGTTTCTTGTGTGAGTTTGCTGGTTGTAAATACTTTAAGAGATTTATCTTTATACAGATTTTCTAGAAATAATGTTTAGCTTAGGAGATTAAAACAGGGTGGATACACTCCCAAAGCTGGGTGTAATTTTATACAGGACTAAAAGTGACAAAATAAAGACATCAGACTGGACTGGTGAAGCCCGATCAGATACTCCACAGGGAAGTAGCCCTGTGTCTTTAGAGGAGATAAGTAGGCCTGGGCTGCACTGGGTTGTGGTTGTTGTTGGGTTTTTTTTTCTTTGTTTTGTTTTGTTTTTGTTTTTTGTCTTTTTCATTTTTTTGCAACCCTCCCTAGGTGTGCAGAGTCTCTCTTCCCCAGCCCTGCCACCTCTTCTGGCCTCCTCCTGCCCCAATCAAAAATTGTGCTGGATTGTCCTTGAACCTTAGGGCATATTATCCCCAAACATCTTATTTCCACAGTAATCTTTCCCTCGATTTGATGTACCTCCAACTCAATCGTAAATGTGATAAATGGCAAAATGAATGTATATTTCATGTGATTTGTGAATAGGCTTTCTGCATGGTGCACAATGGTTTGAGCCCCCAAAGATACTATACTGAGTTCTATCAGTTGTCCTTTGTGGTCCCATAATATTTCTGAGTTTCTGTACAATCATGAAAAGTTCTGAGATCCCAAGAGTGATGGAATCCAGAGCAGAATTACGGGTCCTAAAATATCTGTAATAAATATATTCACATTTCAGGTATGTTTGGGCTTCCTTGTATTTCCCTCCAATCTGTTTCAATTGATTCCACCTCGGGTTGATCATTTTATGTGGGAAGGGGAAGGGAAAAGGGGTGTCTCTACTTTCAAAGAGTCTGTCCTTTATTGGATAAAGTCAATTTTTTCCCCTCCTCATCCTGCAGCTAAAACCCACCATTCCTGGATCATTTTTGACAACTCACATTTGACACCTACATTCTGCTTCTGGGTGTGTAGGATTTTTTTTTAAACAATTTTTTTAAAGGAAGTTTTTTTTTAAAGTTGAAATCATAGGGAAATTTATGAAGTGAATCTATTTTTGCAACAAATATAGGAACTTCCTGGGTCAAGTGCTAACCTTTTCACCTCTAACTGAACGTTGACATATATACAAACAGACCTCCCTTCAAAAGCAGAAACTGTCTTCAGTCAGTCTTTCCTCACATCAGTGAGCCAACAGTCAAGGGACTCACATTTAATTACCTCCAATATGAAGCTGTCCTCGGAATGGAGTCCTCCTCCTGTCCCTTATTACCCTTCACACACCTTTCCTCTTTGCTGATTGCCAACTATAGCTTTCAATATCTTGTTTTTTGCTCCCCCACTTCCAATTCTTCCTGTCCTTCTTCCATCTCCTCCTTCATCCTTCCCTCTCCTCCTTAAGTTCTCAGCTAAGCTTCATTCATCTCCAAACCCAAATTTGATTTTAAAAGCTATGCCAGACCTGGATTTGCTGGGAGATTCCTGATGCCTGGGCACATGCTACAGTTAGTGAGAGGCCCCAGGAGAACTGGTTCCCTATTTCCCTCTGCGGCCACTTTCAGGGAAACTTGTAAGTTTCTTTAAGGTCTTACACCGCCCAGCTGCACAGAGCCAGAAATCAGAAAAGGAGTAATATTTCAAAGCTACAGGGTTTACACCTATGCCTTTTCCCAAATCCTTACCACCACTTCACCCACCCACCCCCTTCACTCGTTTTAGCGGAACATTCCGCCCCGAAGCTTCCAGAAAGGGAAAAATCCTAGCATCCTTCAAAGGACAAATACATGTTTCTCCTAAGAAACAAATAAACAAACAGCCTGGGCTTCCTTTCTTCACCAACAAAGGAATGCTTTGCACGGAGCGTCAGGGCTGCAAAGTTGCAGGTTCGGTGGAGCATCTACGCGAGATTCCTCATTTCCTTGTCAAAGGAGACAAGTCTCGATTTGCAGGCGCGTCGGCCATATCAAGGGCACCAGGAGAAGGCTAGGGCTCCCTGCCTCAGCCCTGGGACCGTCCCTAAAAAGACTGCAGTGGATGCAGCCCAACTTCAAAGCGGAGCCAAATATTTCTTTCATTTTCCCGCCTGAGCTTATACTGTATCTTTTGTTTATTAGCGTAAGGGCACAAAACAAAACAGATGGCCTCCTTCCAAATACTTTCATGTGCTAAAGTATGCATTTGCATGCCACCGACCCTGATTTCAATATCTAAGAGCTAGAGGGGTTCCAACCCCTGGGCCCTCAAGTGTCCAGGTACTGGTTTTTTTTAATGGAACTGGGGGGAGGAAAAGGATCAATTACAGCGAAATTGACCAAGACTTTTCTCCGTGGTGGGATAAATTAGCTAACGAGCAATGCATTTAGGACGCATTAATATACCTTTCAGCAACGAAAACATTCGTATCTTTTTAGCTGTCCCAATCGATTAAATCAAAATAGCTTAATATGACCTACTTCGAGGTCTCTTTGTTCTCGGAGGAAAGCAGTTAAAAAAAAGTGATAAGGGTGATTGAAACCCCAGAAAGAGCTAAAATGGGGGAATCCCCCATTTTTACAGATTCAAAACCAGCCGCTCTTGAGAGGTGCATCGTGGGATGGGAAGGATTTGGAGATCATCTTTCTCAATCCTCGTGGTTTACCAAAGCGTAGTCCTCCCCAACCCATAGTTCAGAGCAGCACCCAACTCAAGCCGGATTTCAGATTTTTCCTGCATCTCTTGCCTTAGATAGAACAGCCCCCTCCTTTCAAGTTAAATTTTGGAGCTTAGGCAGAGGCTGGGGTATTTTCCTCTGGGGCAATCAGATTCCAACAGATCAATATTTACTCAGTCTGAAAGGGTTGTTGAAAAGGCAGCATCAACAAACTGCTTAGCTGCTCACCCCCAGTTTAATCTTAGGTTCACCGAAAGTTCAAACAGAAATTAATTCAGAGATGGGTCACTTTAGAAAAAGCCCTCTGCTGAAGGCAAACAATTCCAGTCCCATCCCTCTGGAGGAGGGGGGGTGACTTTCCCAATTCTTTTTTGGCTAAACAGTGTTTACTAAAAACTTAACCACTTTCCTCTCCCTCTCTGAAGGTCTTTTCATGAGGGGTTAGTTTCCCTGCTGTCCTCTTCCTTCCCTCCCCTCCTGTTCTAGCTTTCCTTCTGCCAATCCATTAACCTTCACTTGGCCTAAACTAAACTGCATTGAATATTTTAAAAATGTTAAATAAGACTGATGAAATGGATCCTATTTATTTCTGGTGCCACTAGCTATGAAAGAGGGTTCTTTATATTACAGCACATCTCCTAGGTCTAGGAGAACTCCTGGGTGAGATCGGATAGAAAAGTCCATTTACTCCTGACTAATGTGGGTCTTTCTCCTTAGCATCTCTCTAGGCCTGGATGCAGAGTCCGTCCGGGGGATGAGGTGGGAGGAGAGGCTGGAGAAATCAAGGGATAAATATATATTGGGGGATGCCTTGGAATCCTGATGGACTCCGGTTCCATCAGTTGGGGGGGCAGAGGAGGGAGGGGAGAAAGCAAGGGACTTGGAGAACCCCAGGATGGAATGGAAGGTGAAGAGGTTACTGTTGGAGGTGGGAAATGCTGCACGTCGTGGCTAATTGCCACAGAGCTCCAGAGGTCAGAGTTCACAAAATACCGCATAAATGAATGCTCAATGGAGACTTATTAAACTCTCCTAATGGCAGCTCACGCTTGGCCAAAAGTAGGAATATTTCTTCCTAAGAAGAGGCATCCATAAGGAAGAAGTGGCCCTTTTGCATTTTTACTTACGTAAAGCACTTTTGTGCTCTCCATGCCCACACACTTATTTTAAATACTATGCATGGATGGAACATTTCATTTTCTGATTGTGCTGCAAACGTGCTCACGTTAGCATTTTTAATAGGCAGGAAAGAACTGCTCACAGGGACTTCTCTATTAGGATGGCCTGCTTGGGAAGAGACAGACAACTTTATAATAGAAAAGTGCCCTTGGAGGCTGAATTTCAGAGGGTAAGCTGAGGCTTCTAGTTTCTCAGCCTTCTTACCACGATCCAGGGGCAGTTTGGTTCCTTCTTTTTTCAAGAGCAACCCCCCATCTTCTGGTGCACTTACTAGTTCCCTTCCAAAAAACACCCACCACTCCATTCCTGTTTGGTTTCTTTCACACACCTGCGACAAGAGAGAGGGAGACTTGAGTTCTTGGTCCTCGATTTTCTTACTGGTCAGATTTTCTGGTAAACACTCCACCCAGTGCTCCAGCCTAAGGTTGTCTGGGTTACTGATCCCCCAGCACTCCTCTCCCCACTTCTGTTAATACATCACCAATCGAATACAGATCCTAGTAATTAAACACTGGGAACCTAGTTTCACAAAAAAAAATTAAGATTTGAGAGAAGATGCAAAATGTTAATTCTGTGAGAACTGGTTTTCACAAACATTTTAAAAATTCAGTCTAGATCTGGGAAAGAATTATCGTGAAAGTAAACCCCCGGCATTAAGAGTTTGACCCCATTAAATTGGCAAAGGTTGCTGTCAGTGAGGTGCAGCCCAAGGGCTCTGTTAACACATTCCAGGTTGGATTCTCACGCTGAATTTTCTTTCTGCCTTGGACCTATTCCACAGCCTGGCCTCCTTGCCTGTCTCTGCCCGTATTCCTTCATTTCCTCGGGTGACTCACTCTCTTCCCTGAAGAAAAAACCCTAACTCTCCTCTGAACCTCAACTTTGCACTTTTTCTTTCTGCCCGACGGGTGGATTCCTTAGGCTAGGGATTATTGGGCCCAAGGCCCCGCATCAGTGCTGGAGGCTGCTGGGAGAATCCCTCGAGGCTTGTCTTACACCATCCTGTTGGTAATCACTCCAGTCGTGGAACTCAGCTGACCTTCGATTGCAGTACTCGTGACTATAGAGAGCAGCTGGGCGGCTCAGTCCAGGTTGGCTCTAAGCATCTTTACCTTCTTAATTTCTTCATTCCCTTCCACCTTCATCCGTATAGTTTTGTGATCCCGAAGCACAGGAATTTTCCTTCTAGCCTATGACTCCTCAACGGCTGCATCTGGGTCTTGGCTATAAGAAATCAATTACGGCCTCGGCTTTCGCTTTCAGCTTTGGGGACCCAAGTCAAGACATGTATCTCAATTTAAAAAAAAATAAATCTTCTCGGGAATTAGAGGAATATGAAAATGTACTTTCGCTTTTTATCTGGCATGGAGTCAATTTGTAGGAAATCTTAGGATCTTTAATGCTCTGTACTATGGACTGGAGTGTAATTAATCGCTTTTCGTACATTAAAAAAATCAACAAAAACCACAGGTTCAATACCGTTCCACCCTTTCCCCTCCCCCCAAACAACAACAACAACAAAACCCCATCAGCAGCAACAACACAGGGCAATATACCCTTTCTTTTAACAGAAAATAAAGGAGAGGGGAGCTCTGGTGAATGACCGGTGAATGACTGGATTATTCCTTTTTGGGGGGTTCATTTTAAAGGAAAGTCGTCACATCGGGGCTGAAACAAATGCTGTCGATTTTAGGTTCTCGTATTGCACCAACTCTGATGGTCCTTCAAGGCATGCGGGGGTGGATGGGGGACTGGGCTCCGATCTTCTAGTGGGCTGATAGGACTTCTCCAGGGCCGCTTTGGAGCGAGCCCCAGCGCTTTGTCCTTGCTTCAAGAGTAGCCCCAGTCATTCCCCAGAGCTCGGTCT